AAAACCCTAAAACCCTAAAACCCTAAAACCCTAAAACCCTAAAACCCTAAAACCCTAAAACCCTAAAACCCTAAAACCCTAAAACCCTAAAACCCTAAAACCCTAAAACCCTAAAACCCTAAAACCCTAAAACCCTTAAACCCAAAAACCCTAAAACCCTAAAACCCTAAAAACCTTAAAACCCTAATTTTCAAATTTCGTAATTTTTGCAGATTTTGAAAGCGAGTGAGAATTGTGACCCAAATCCAGTAACAACATTGGCCCAATGCAACAAAACCTTCTTTTGTTCACCCAAATACGCAAAAATGACGTCATGGCCAGAAATGACGGAAAATCGAAACTCTCCAATCCGAAAGCGCGCCTACGATACCGCCTTTTTCGGTGTGACCACCGCTTTTGCACCTTACGACCGTCCGATTGGGCCAGGACTGGCCCCTGATCTTTCGAATGGACCGCAATCGCGAGATTCCAAGCACGTGAGAATATAAAAGCGGTCCGTCTACTGGTATATGACGCCAGTTTCCACCGGGGTCATCTTTGAGATGCTGAGCCTGACAACCGTTTTGTCCCGGCAGACTTTAGTGTAGTCTGTGTTCCGTCAGGATTCACTGACGCCGTTTTAAAACCGGCTGACGGCCCAAAGCTTTCAGGCCGAGGGGACCCCGGGCGGGGATGCCTGCCGGGCGCGAGACCAGCCAGTCGTCGACTCGCCGCATTCAATCTCCTCCAGCCAGTCGAAAAATGGCCCCAGCTGACGACCGAGCAGTGTGTCACCAAATTCAATGCCAATTATGGCAATGGCAACAATGGCGGTCTCTCTCTCGCTGAGGCCCAGGGTCTCTCGTTGTCGTAGAGTGCAGCACCACTTTGCCAGGTGCGGCGCACACCGTAATTCTTTCGGACTGCAGCTCAGCTCTCCCATAATATTAGCTACGCTAGGTTTGGCCCTGCTTCCAGCTTGTTCAGTCCTTGCAACCTTTGAACAACAGAGGTTGCTTCAGGGCGACGCGGACTGGTTGGAGGTGCTGACGCAGTGAAGCCTCAGCTCCTCTGGCATTGCACGTTCAGGACGAAGCTGTTGCAGCCAGCTGATGTAGACGCACCAGTGTGCCGCTCAATGACACTATCATGCAGAGTGCTTTGGAATAAAATGTTTGCGGTGTCTCTCTAAAAGCATAGTGCAATGGACGTTGGAATGTCGACTTCCCAAAGCACCTGCAAGAAGAACCTTATGCTTTCCTGAAACCTCTGGGTTACATTGGGCGGCATGTGGAGCCAGCGATGCAGTTAGACCTTAGCTTGCCTCCCCACAGCGACCTGTCCATGGAGGCTCCAGGTCCAGTCCCTCAGGAGCGGTGGCCGGGCGTTATTGACTTGAACCAGGCAGCCCCTCAAGACGACCTTCCGTCAGTCAGTGGAACGGCACACGAGAATGAGCTGCGCGGCAGGAGCTCCCCTTCTGCCAACGGCGCAAGTGGGCAGAGTGACGGGGCGGTGGGGCGCAGCCGGCGGCAGTCGGGCAGCCCACTGGAGATCGATGCCATCTCGCGCATGCTCTACTTTGCGAGCCAGGGCAGCGTGGAGGACATCCAGGCCATGCTGGACGACGGGGCAGGTGAGCTGGCAGGCGCTGCTGCAGAACGAAGCAGCGGGATCCCCCTTGCGGCAAACTGGTACTCAGGATTCTTGAGCTCTGTGCAAGCACAAGTCAGACATTATGCCCGCACAAGAATTTGGCTTACAGGTGGCAGTGCAGCCAGGTGGGCTTCTGGCTCTGGTGATGGCACATGAATGGCCTCCTTCTGGTTGGCTGGTGGACAGGAGGTTTGGAAGCCGTGCTGCTGCAATTGTCCTTCTTGCAGGTGTTTTGCTAAAGGGCAAATACAAATTTCCATTTCAAAATGCCCACACTTCAGTTTCAGCTCTCATAGAAGGGCACGTTTTGTCTTCTTGATATCTCTGCGCATCCCCTTATTTTCCCCCTCATTGAATTTTGTTTGCGGGACTTTGTCAATCTGCTGAAGGTTTTCGAAATTGGTGCTCTTCTTGAATGGGCACTGCTTGAAGCTCTCTTTCATGTCAAGTCAATGCCAAGTACCTTCAACCTGCAGTCTTGCAATTGCAACTAGTCACAGACCCCCCTATGGCCCACTTCCTGGCATTTTCTTCTATTTGAGAGCACCCCTCCCCTGCCGACTTCAGATGTGAACAGCCACGACTACGACGGGCGCAGCGCGCTCCACCTGGCGGCCAGCGAGGGCAAGCTGGGCGCGGTGCAGCTGCTGCTGGAGCGTGGCGCCAGGGTCAACCCGCTGGACCGCTGGGGGGGGACGGTGAGGCCCGCGCGCGCACCCCCTCACAATCTTTGAAGTGCAACCTGCCTTGTGAAAGGGGCTCCAGGCATTGGTTTGTCCTCAAGAATCTGGGCTGGTCACAATTGCAGGGCTCGAGGCTACAGGTTCATCAAACGGCACCCGGCTGGCCCAAGAACATTTGTCCGAGCAAGAGCCCCTGGTCTGGAGGCAGACTTGCCAGTGTGGTTCGTGCAGGGTGTGTGCTGATGGGGCGCTGTCTTGTTCCTTGTGCAGCCGCTGTCGGACGCTCTCCACTTTGGGTTTCAGCCGGTGGCGGACCTGCTGCGCAGCCGGGGGGGGCACGTCATTGTGAGTGCAGCGGGCAGCCCCCGTTCTTGTTCTTGGGAACACGGTGCCCACTGAGGACGGTGATGCTCTGCAGATCGTTGTATTCAGCCTCATTCTCGTTCATGTCCGAAGACACTGCCTGAGCGGTGTGCTTGTACACTTTTGTATCCTTTGATCAGGTCTCACTGGCCCCCTCTCTTGTGTCTGTGTGCTCCTCAGAACGAGCGGTTGTCGGATGGCAAGCGGTTCTTGACGAACCCCCCCCAGCGCGCCTACTCGTCCGACATTGGCCCCGAGTGGGAGTTGGACCCTGCGGAGGTCGACTGGCGCAAGTCGTTCCTCATTGGCAAGGTATGCACCGCACCGCCACCATGACACCTTGCCGTGGTTGAAATGCGGAGGGCCTTGCTGAGGCTTGGGATGGGCCTAAGTAGCATTTCAAAGGGTCAGTCCATGATTCCACCCCTTGGAGTGCAGATTCGTCAAATCCACTTGTCATTACTTCCTTGGCAATTTTGCCTCCTGTCAAATGCTGAAAATTCTGTCAGTTGCAGGGTCGGCCATGTATGGAAGGCGTTTGCAAAATTGATATTTATATTCTCGATGGGCATCTTCTCTCCCCCCCTCCCTTGCCAGGGTGCGTTTGGCGAGATCCGGCTGGCGTCCTGGCGGGGCACGCGCGTGGCCGTCAAGTCGCTGCTGCCGTCCCTCTCCCACGACGAGCAGGTCGAGTGAGTGCCCATAGCCAGGACAGGCAGGCCCTTGGCAACAAGGGGATGCGCCAGGGCTGCTCTTGCATCTCACAAGTGTCAAAACTCTGAAGAGGAACAACAAATGTCCTGGCCAGGCGTAGATATCCATTTCATGTGTCCGCAATAGAACGTTCTAGCACCCAAGCGGATGGCGCTTGAGCTGGGGCACCAGGTTCCCTTCTGGAGGGTATCTGAGGGCGTGTGTTGGTGCAGGCTGGAGTTCTTTGACGAGCTGCGCATGCTGTGCAAGCTGCGGCACCCCAACATTGTGCAGTCGCTCGGCGTGGTCACCCACCAGCGGCCCCTCATGCTGCTCTTCGAGTACCTGCCCAAGGTCAGCACCCACCGTGCGCCCGCGGGCGACCGTTTTGCATCTGGCATCTCGTACCTGATCTTTGTAAGAGTCAGCTAACATGATGGCCAGATAGGAAAAGTCACTTTACGTTGGAGAACTGAAGTCGTTCTGCGAGGCAGGAACGTAGGCCAGCTTTCACCGAAAAGCATGCCCTACTGAAGTGCTTCCACACTGGAGCGCACAGTGCCAGGTAGTCCAGCGCCCCGTCAGTCCTGTTCTGCGGAGCAGGGTGCTGCGTGCACGGCTGACCCGCGTGCCCCATTCTGGTGCGCAGGGTGACTTGGCAGACCTGCTGAGTCGGAAGGGCGCCCTGCCCGCCGCCACCGCCATCCGCTACGCGCTCGACATTGCCAGGTGTGCGCTGATGGGACGCCCCACCACGGCCGCTCTAGGCTGGCCCCCCGGGGCTGGCTGTGCCGGTCTATCTTGCACAATCAGGGGCAGCATAAGACAACTCTGGTCCGTTTGTAGCCCTGCTTTGAGTTCTTTTAGGAACTTCCGCACATTCTGCGTGCATTTTCTCGATGGTTCTCTCTCGTCTTTCCCCGGGTTAAGTGTTGTCGGACTTTCAACATTGGAGCATTCAGAGTCGTTATATTTTGGGCCATCGCGGGTGTGCAGGGGCATGAACTACCTGCACCTGCAACGGCCCAACCCCGTCTTGCACCGTGACCTCAAGCCGCGGTGAGCCACGCGACCACCTGCTGCACCTCTCTCACGCTGCCCCCTCCGGTCCCATGGGGCCCGTTGCCTCCGCGGACGTGCCCGGTGCACCTCCGATTCGACTGCCGCACCTTCAATCTGTTCCCGACCCACAGCTTGAGATGCTTGCCCGGACAATCCTTTGGTCGTGTTTTAGATTCTGTCATATTTCATCAAGGAGAATTTCAAACGGCTGAAAGGATATCATCCGTCAGACTTTTTGGCAATCTGCACCCACTTTCAACATTCCAGCTGCCCTTTCCAAGGTCTGCCGCACTTGCTGTGTCCCTGGTAGCTTTGTCCATCAGTCGAGAGGTCTATCGTGGCTGACAGACCGCACGGTGCCGCGCTGCAGGAACCTGTTGCTGGACGAGTCGGGGCACCTGAAGGTGGCCGACTTCGGGCTGAGCAAGCTGCTGACCACGGACGCCATGCACGAGCAGTACAAGATGACGGGCGAGACCGGCACCTGTGAGCCGCCGCCCCACGTCTGTGCTGCACTGCTGCCCCGCCTCCTTGCCCCCTGGCATCAACGCTGACACAAGACGCACCAACCTCGTTGACCAGGTTTACAGAGACATGCGCAGCTTGCGGACATGCGAAGGGCCGAGGTGCTCACGGGGAGGTGCCCATCCGGGCCTCCGTGTCCCTTCTTCCTGACTGACTCGTGCTCTTTTGCAGATCGGTACATGGCCCCCGAGGTGTTCCGCCACGAGACGTACGACAAGAGCGTCGACGTCTTCTCCTTCGCCGTCATCCTGCAGGAGGTGCGCGCACCCACGCCCCGCAGGCCAGGAACATGCCCCTCACAGCAGAGCAGTCCGTCCTTCGTTCAAGCAAGGTCGAGAGCAATCTCTGAGTTGTCACTGACAACTCGTCGTGCTCTGCCTGTCGCTTGTGCGGGTGCCGTCCGTGACCGCTGCTCCTGTTGCTGTGGTGCGCAGATGTTCGAGGGCGGCCCTGCGTGGCGCTTCACCGCCCCCGAGGAGGTGGCCCGCCAGGTCGCGCTGCGCCACCTGCGGCCGCCCTTCAAGGCCAGCACCTACCCGCTCGGGGTCAAGGAGTGAGCGCACTTGCTCAGCCCACTGGAGGTCTCGCAGATTACATGGCCGCTGCTCTCTCTGCCACATGAGAAGTCTACCTTCATAATCGTGAAAAGAATAAATGTAGTAGAGGGGGGGCCCTGCTGGTGGGACACCTGGAGCAGCCTTGGTTGACCTGCCTCGATGGTGCGCCGCATCCGCTGGGCCAGCCATGCGTGGTCCAAGCAGACGATTGAGGCTGCACCCTCTATCGCGCTCAGGGCAGTCATCTGCACACTCAAGTACCTCGAGCGTTCCCAGAGAACGGCCACTCGCATCTCACGATCCTTTGCCTTACCTGTATCTGTGCCTCCACGCGCAGGCTGATCCAGGCGTGTTGGGCAAGCGATGCGCGCTTGCGGCCAACATTCTCTGTGATCATCGAGCGGCTGGAGGAGATTGAGGAGTACATGGCTGCCGCGGAGAAGGCGCTGCGCGACGGGTACCCGCTGAGCCAGCTGTGGGGGCTGCCCGGCATGCTGCACCACCAGCAGCAACCGCACCAGCCGCCACCGCAGCCACAGCCGGGCGTGGGCCACGTGTGACCCACCGGGACGGGGGTTTTGCGGACAATTCACATAGGGGGCGCAAGGGGGGTTTGTAAAGCTAAATACATAGGACTAATATAGATACAAGTGTGATCGAGAGACCGGGAATTTGAAATGATCATGACGAGTGTGCTGCGGCACGGCTGTCCATTTTGACCCTATCATGCACAAGAAGCACTCAGCTATGAAAGACACATCTCTGATTAACGCGGACCTGAGCATCTTGTGATATGGTCAAGTCAGCCCTGCATTGATGCCACGATGAACCACGTGGTGCACGCGCTGTGGCGGTACTTGGTGGGAGCTTCGGATCCATGATAAAATTGTTCCGTTCATGCAAATGCTTTTGAACGGCCGGCGCGCAATACTTATTGACGGTACATACTTGGAAAAAGGGCTCCTGCACTATAGCAACAGATATATATCCGGCCGTCGAATAGATATTATACATATGCAGTCAAGTTTGCAAAGTACGTGCCAGTGGTGAGTCATATGCATAATTTTGAGTGTGATGTCACGGCCTCGGGTTCGGTTTCGTCGATTAAGCAAACACGAATTAGACTCGCTGATTGCGCAACCCCACATGATTGATCGCGGCACACCATGCTAGTACGTCACATTGATTGTTAAGAGTCCATGATGTAGATTTGGGCCTTTGCATATTTATAGCTCTTGCTCCGGACGTACATGACTCATAGCTGTGGCAGGCCGCCGGCCTGCGGAGTCAAGGACAAAGTCCCGAGCGGCCGCGCAAACCGTGCTCCACAGCCATGGTGGCTAAGGGCGTTAATTATTTGGAAGTTACCATCGCAGCGGAAAGCAGACGAACGCCGCTCAGTGCATGGCCGGCGCCCCGACTTAACTTAGTAAATCAAAATATGCCGGCCGGCCTATAAATTCTATAAAATCTGCTTGCAGAAAATCGATTTTGTATGAAAATCGATCGTGACGTTGTTGCCCTAACGCTCCCTATAAGGTTTTCGAAAGTCATCCGCGCTCGAATGCAGAACAACTCGTGCCTTGGAAGTTACCAGGCGCCATCGGCCGGGCCACGCAGCGGTGGGCTACAGCCTACATATGCATGTGGCAAGTACACGTACGTATATACTGGCAATTTCTAGATCGATGTCACGCGGCATGGTCCTCCGACCTATAACATGAAAGATCGATCCATGTTGAGCAACTAGTGTTTTCCGTCGGAATGATCCTGTCCGATCCGACGTGACCGTGCACATATGGAGCGTTAACAAATATGGGTCGCGAATGATCGTGAACTCAGGGAATTTTAAAGGTCAAAGTCCCTCGATCAGATGCAATTGACTATTTTAGTCAGCCCGGGCCTGGGCTCGATGGCTACTAATTCCAACGTCATGCGTGGCGATCATCCCCGTGGTACCTGCGTTGAGCTCTTCAACCAATCTGACAAATATTCGGTGAAGCAACAAGCTGCTGCTTCAATCCCTCTCGGTCCGTTGCAAACGTAGAAGCTCTCGCGCCGCTATCGTTGGGCGGGTATGTCCAGCTTCACGTTTTTGACGCTCGCGCTCTTACTCGTGCTGCTCCGCGCGGACCCGAGCGACGTGTTGCTGTTCCTGCTGGCCAGGCTGCTCCGGCTGCTGGCCAGGCTGCCCGCGAGCGACCCCGCGCGGCTGCTCCCGCGGCTGCCCGCCGGCGTGGCCCCGGTCGGGAGCCTCAACCGGGCCTCGCCCAGGGTGGCCTCCACGAAGGCGGCCACGCTTGGGTTCTCGCCACACAGCTGCTTCAGCTCTTGCAGCACCTCCCGGTTGCTCTCGCGCACTTCCTGCAGCTTGATCTCGCGCTCCGCCTGGCTCAGGCCCTGCCCGGCGGCCACCCCCGCCTTCTCGCGGTGCTCCCGCCGCAGCTTCTCGCCCCGCTTCTGCGCGCGCTTGCTCCGCTCCGCCTGCTCCGCCAGCTCCTTCTGGGCGACCGCGGCGCGCCGCCGCATCTCCTCCAGGCCCGCGGCCGCGTGCGCCTGCGCAGAAAGGGATGCCAGTTAGTTGGAGGGCATCTTTGGGTTTGTTTCAGCTGAGTGAGTCTGATCCAAAACCCCTCAGCCGCATCACAACCTTGATCGAAGAAGGTACGAACACCGTTTCCTGTCCAAGACATGGTTGTAGTCCCCAATCTACAGGGAGAAAAGCAAAGTTGCGTTTTGCTCCGCCTCTCTTGGCGGGGCTGACCTGTTCCGCCGCCAGGTTGGCGTGCCTCTGCTCGTGCTGCTCAACCTCCGCCGCCAGCAGCTGCTCCTGGCTGCGCTTCAGCTTCAGCTTGTCGTACGCGCGGTCCAGCGCGGCGCGCGCGGCGTCCTTCTCGGCGGCCATGGCCTCGCTCTCCGCGCTGCGGAAGCTCGCGCGGAACTGCCCGTTCTTCTCCGCCAGCTTGCCCAGCGTCGCCTCCAGCGCATGGACCTCCTTCTCAGCCTGGCCACAGCCAGCCACAAACGATGCGTAAGCATTTGCCGTCCGAGCTATGCACCCACCTGGCACCCGATGTTTTCCCTTCCAGCGACTCTGTAAATGTTTCCTGGTTGACCTTCGAAGTCTTTGGCTTCACGAACATGCAAATGCATGTCCCTGTGCACGGAAATCGTCCAAAGAGACCTGGACAGAATGTGAAAATAGCAGCCGTTCTTTCATGTATAGTTGTGAAGTGACCTGAAGCTTGTCCTACGACCCATCCTATTCCTCACGTGAATCTGTGGCGACAGACAGTTTTGGCTGGCACGCAACATCGGAAGAGAGAGCGCAACTCAATCAGAAGTCCACGGGCATATACTTCCACGGCCTGCCTGCCTCTCTGTCATGCTGAAGAGCCTCAATTCGGCATCTGATGAGTTGATGCGCCCGCACACTGGCTGGCATGGCCTTGGCGATCTGCTGTCTGTATCATTGAGCGGACAACGGTTTGGTTTTGACTCCAATGTAGCGTCTGCGTAACGAAGGCCCCGAAGACCGCCGCGCGCCGTCCCCGTCCCACGCCCCTCACCTGTCGTATTTGCGCGTCCAGCTGGTCCCCCTCCCGCTGCAGCTGCTCCCGCTCCTGCGCGGCCTTGATCACGTAGTACGCCTGGCTGCGCTCCTCGCCCTCCTCCTTCTTCACGCGCCCCACCAGCACCTCGTACCGGGCCGCCAGCTGCGCGCGCACAGGGGAAGAACGCTTAGTCGTGACGAGCACCACTGCCGAAAGGCAGGCCGATCAGAGCTGAGGTGCTCCGCAAACGGCAAAGATTGCAGAGTAGGGGTCGCATGACAACCTATGATTTGTTACCGTTCAGGTTGAACAGTCCAACCAATGCCTGTACCAATTTACGTCGCTGACGCGAGTCACGTCCAACGTCCCAGAGTCTGGCATCACTTCCGCATCCTGACGCTCTCAATAACTCTGCCAAATTCAACATGGGACCTTTCTTCCCGGCTGCACGTCTTCTCTACCACCCATCAGTGAAGAAAACAAGCTTCTCCACAGAAAGACCCCCTGACCTGCCTGCCCCTTGGCGCGGCTCACCTTGGCGACCTTGATGCTTTTCTCCTTTTTCTCCAGCACGGTCTTGTGCGTGTCCTCTGTGACGGCCTTGAGCTCCGCGCGCAGCAGGTCGCGCTGCGCCTCCACCTCCAGCCGCCGCTCCTCCATGGCCAGCTGCAGCTGCACGCGCCGGTTCTCCAGGCTCAACACCTCGTCTGCACGGGCCAACGAGGTGCGGGGTTAGCGCCGAGCAGGGGATGTTGATGAAAATAATGGACTTCTGAGCAAGGCGATCCATTAAGAGTAAACAATGAGGAATAACTGAAACAAAATTGTGGCCAGACATGCAAGGACAGAAAGTGACGGGGGCTTCGTCTGCCAAAAGCCAAAGGGGGCTTCTTCTCACAAAAAGTGAGCGTTATTGTCGAGCATCAGAAAACTACTCGTGTCGGATTGCGGGTGAAGAGGGTTCCACGCAGGATTATCAGTGGACAAGTTCCTTGAGGAATGAGGCACTGAAAGCAGGGGGGAAAGCTCGACTGGACTTCAAAATTGCACCAGAAATGAATTAGTCATCGACCGATCAAGTGACAACTTGAGGAGAATACGTAACATGGTAGCGAAGGCATGGCTAATGAGTTCAAGGAGAATTGAGTCCGGTAAGATGGATAACCACCGATTTCCAGTCGCAAATAAGACGGAGACACAAGCGGCAGTCCGCAGGCTTTGTGCTGCGGGCGGGCTGCGCGTGCTGGTCCTCACCCGCGCGCAGGCTGAGGATGTCCTGCAGCCGCTTCAGCTGCAGCCGCAGAACGTCGTGCGCCACCAGCCTCTCCTCCTTCTCGCGACACACTTTCTGCACACACACCGCGCAAGACCCGTCAACACCCGCCCAGCCGCAGCCGGTGCGAGTCCCGAGAGGTCAAACATTCATCAGACTGAGATCAACGGCTTTCTAACAAAGCGGGTGGCCTTATAGTATATCGATCAGATAAGTGCAAAATGTTATTTGGTGAAAAATTGGCTGAGATGGGATTTCCGTTGCCCGCTTCTTTCGCAGGCACACAATATCGACCACACTCCAACGGTTCTGAATGGGGGCGGCATACGACGTCCAGACTGGCGAAGGGTTGGTCTTTGAGCTGCGGCCGGCTGTCCCCTTTCTGCGCGGTGCGCCTCACCTTGACCTCGCGTGCCGCGGTGTCGGACTCGAGCACGAGCTCCGCAATCTTGGTCTGCAGCGCGGCCGCCTCCTTGCTCGCCTCGCCGTGCCGCCGCCGCGCCGCCGTCAGGTCCTCCTCCGCGCGCTTCACCTGAAGCACACCGAAAGGGTGAGCGCCGGGCATGATGAATCATTCTGTGCGAACGTTAGCATCCCTCTGAGAATCCTTGAAGCTGACGAGCAGTGAGCATCTGAGGGGAGGATGACATATGTCACCCGGCTATGCGATTCAGAACGCTGCCTGCTTTTATCGACGTTCTTCGTGTTGCAGCCAACCGATGCTCCCCGCTTTTCGGCGACCAGATACGGGAATCCTGTTAGCTCACGCGACCCGCACTATCAGCATCTTCAGCAGGCAGGAACTGCACACTTGCTGTACAAACCTTGAGGCAAGTGTTACATATCCTTCCTCCAAGGGAGGGTCGCCGCGCGCTGACCTGGGCGAGGAGCATGGAGTGCTCGCTGTTCTTGCCGTCCAGCGTGGCCTGCAGCTCCTCAATCTTGCGCGTCAATTCGCGCTTCTCGCTGTCTGACCGCTCGCCGCTCGCGCGCGCAACCTTGCGCTCCATCGCCTGTAGCCAACCGAGCGACAACTGTGAGACAGAGATCTGCTTCTCCAATAGCAAAGCTTGGCAGAGTCACCAGGAGAGGAACAGTGGCGCTCCGCTGAAGTTGATACGTTGGCATACTATTACCGGCTCGTTCTCTCGCTCGCGTCATCGCCGTTAGCTTTCATCGTTCCCACTTTCAATCCATCCCTTTCCCACCCAAAAGCCACGGCGAGCACCTCGTTCGATGGCAGTCACCCTGGCGATCCCGCCCGCCCGGCCACTCCTCCCCGCGCGCTCACCTGAATGTTGAAGTCTGCGGTGTAGAGCGTCTCCTGCAGCTTGGCCAGCTCGCCGTCCAGCTGCCGCACTTTGGCGCCCATGTTGCGTGCCTGCACGCGCGCGCCCCCGATCTCGCCGCCCAGCTCCTTCTCCGCCGTGCGCGCGCCGTGCAGCTCCTTGCTCGCGCGCAGCTGCTGCTCCTTGAGCTCCTCCACCTCTTTCGTCACCGCCTTGAGCCGGCCCTCCTCCGCGGCCGCGAGCGCGGCGAGCTCGGCCATGCGCTTCTCTAGCGTGTCCAGGTGCCCGAACTCCTCGTCCACCTTGCGCTTCACGCCCGACAGCTTGCGCCCCACGCCCTCCAGCCGCCCGCGCTTCGACCCCAGCTCCTGCACACGCGCAACCAGCCAGTCAGCCACCACGGCGGAACAAGCGCCGGCGGGGGCAGAGGCAGCGGTCCGCTGAAATGACTCGTTGCGCTTTTGAAACATACCTGGACATGCAAAATCCATCCTCACCAGCAACCAGTCACTCTCATCACTTCTGTGCCTCACCCAACGCGAAATCCTCCAAGCCAATGAATCCATTCGCCGAACTCTGCTTTCAAGCACGTCTTCTTCTCGGACGGCAGTGCTCAACGTATAGGAGACCGACAGACCGGCCTCGCAGCGGTCGCGCGGCTTTACCTCCTGCGTGGCGGTGTTGGCGTTCCTCTGCTTGGCGAGGTCCTCCTGCACGCGCTCCAGGCCCGCGCGCGCGAGGTCCGCCTGCTCCTCCACCGCCGCGCACCGCCGCCCGTCCTCGTCCAGGCCCGACCGCAGCCGCGCCGCGCCGCGCTCCACTGCGGACAGCCGCCCGTCTAGCTCTTTCTGCAGGCTCCAAGAGGAGTTTCGTGAGCTCTACGTCTCGTGGTCAGCCGTCGTTATAGTCGCCGTCGCTTGCTAAAGTCGAATAATTTCCTCTTGCATGACGGACCAACGGTCATTGTTCCGCTGCGAAGTCGGGTCTCGTATTCCAGATACCCCTTCAACCGAACCACCTTATTGCTGTCACGGGATTAGCCAGCCTGTAACTTCGTCCCTGACGCAGGAAGGAGAGTCTGAGTGCCCTTAGAAAGGGGCCCCTTTCCGTATCGTGTGCCATCTGGTGACGGATCCGTCGAATCAAGTACTGGTTGTTCACTTCATTGCTGCGCCTGCAAGTCAGCGCCAGTTGTCCGAAGCATGGCGCGATAGCAAACGGCGTAGCCAGAGGCGTGGGTGGCTCACGTTTTTCCCCTTTTCGCCCTCCAGCCGCTTGGCCTGCTCGTCGAGCGTCTGCTTCTTGTCGCGCACCCGCGCTCGGTTTTCTGCAAACACTGTGCTCGCTGCCTGAATCGACTCATCACGCCGCTTCATTGTCTCAGTTGCCTCCTCCCATTGCCGCACCTGCAGCGGGAGAAGTGGTTTACAAGTTTGACCAGATGCTGGAGTGGAGGAGCTGGGTAGGGGCAAACATCTCTGAAGCAGAACCAGCGCCAGGAACACCTCGCCAGTCCGTGCAACGGGGACTCAGTGACATTCTGCTCCATTTCGCATTGTTTTGTTCTGTGAAAGCCCCACTCCGGCAGTTCTTAGCTCCAAGCTAGACAGTCTTCCCTCCTTCGTCTACCATTCTCGTTGAAACATTTTTGGAAAAGTGCTGAAACACGTTGATGCTCAGCCCTGACTACCCAGTGGAGAGCATGCGGCTCACCAGGTCCTGCCTCTCAGTGTGCAGCATCTTGAAATCCTCGGCCGTTTTGTCCAGCTGGATCTGGGCCGCCTGCGTCTCCGTCACCTCGGTATCCAGCTCCACCCTCCTGCACGGGGACACTGTGCGAGTTGCAGCTCGTACTTCCATGGGCCATGTGAGACAGGCACACCAGTCCCCACCATCGTAATCCCTTTGTTGAGGCAGTGGGTCTCTTCAATTGTACGTTCGAAATAGTACAGGCAGATTGATTCAGCAAGTAATCGTGTTGTTGGCTTACTTACAATCCACCTTTTCCTTATGCCAATGCAAGCAGATCCAACGGCTCAAAACAGGTTGCAAACCCCCCGATCAACCCACTGCAACTTCTACATGAGACACGTGCTCCAATTTGGCGCACGCGGGGCCGACTCTTACTTGGCGTGCACGTCCTTGGCCATCTTCTCCGCTTTGAGGCTGAGGTCGCGTATCCGCGCATTGTCCTGCTTTGCATACTTGGCCAGCACCGTATTGTCCTCCTCCTTCTGTTTGGACGCAATAGCCCACTGCTCCAGCTCCTCCTGCAACAAGGCGCAAGCAAGCGTCGAGAAACGAATTTAGCCAGAGGCGGTCGCCTTGCAGCATCGGTGTCCGCTGAAGCTGTCTTTCGGTTTGAAAGTGTTCTACTGGGGCTTTCTCACACCTTCCGCTCTGAAGAAACCGCCATTGGGAACAATGGCAGCAGGGAAGTGACCAAGTTCGATCTGTTGAAGAAGTCTGCCGAGCAGCATATGTTTGCAGAAACTGCTTTGTACGGGCAAGAGCGTTGATTCCCGCATGGGCGCATCTTCCAGCTGATCAAGGCAAAGCAGTGTTATTTCGATGCGGCTACCACCACCCCCAATTTGTGATTGGAGCGGGCCGCACCTGGTTCCAGTTCATGAGCTGGCGGAAGTGGTCCAGCTTCTCGTTGCCGCGGAAGATGGTGTTCTGCAGCGCCGCCAGCTTGTCCTGCAGCTCCGCAGCTTCCTTCTCCAGCGTCGCAATGTCCGACTGCACACACAAAGGGACCCAATTCTAGCTCAAGCGCTGCCCAGGATATGCACTCGGCATGCATGGTCTTAATCTATTGATGCAGCAGTCCAAAGGTGCTCCCTTGTGCTACAAAATGTTGTCAAGGCCAACTGGTGCCCAGCTTTGCCTACTTGTCTGGGATACCAGTGGTCCAATCAATTCTGCTTTCTCTAGATTGTGGCATCTGCTAGTACGTCATGAGGATCATTCTTACGTTACTTTCTTGTAGAATCAGTGCCCAGGATCTTCTGGCTTAGACAAAACTATCCAGCAACCGCACTGCAATCGCACGCCCTATTTTGCCCCCCTGGGCGGCCACCCTTGCTGTGGCCCTCACCATGAGCCTGCCAGTCTCCCGCTTGTTGAGCTGCTTGAGGTGCTTCTCCGTCTCGGCCTCCTTCTTCTTGGCCTCCACCCGCTGCTGCGTGAACACCAGCTCCTCCTGCACCACCACCACGCTCAGCAATGCGCAACACAACAACTCCGCGGCCCGCCAGCATTGCCCCTTATGCCGTATCACAATGTTACCTCTGCTTGACTGGCGTGCTCTTTGAGGCTCGCCCACTCCCGCAGTGTCTGCACTCAGTCCTGATAGATTGACGCATCATGCCTCGCACCTAGTTCCCTGATGTCACGTAGTAGGGGACAGGAGAAAAGACAGCAACTAGGAAAGGACTGAATCAGTCCATCAAGAAGTTCTTTTTATGACTAAACCGCTGGAGTTGCTCAGCGGGTGGCCCTGACCTGCACGTTGCGCAGGTGCTCCTGCATGACCTTGATCCTGTCACGGTGCTCCTCCAGCGCCGCCTCGCACACGTGCAGCTCGCGCTCCTTTTGCCGCACATACCTGCAACCACAGCGAGGCGCGCTCAGCGCTCTTCAAGGATGGGGTGGCTTTAAAAACACGGTAGGTTCTTCGAAATGAAGGGATAAATCCATTCCATATGCAATGCCAGCTCCTCAACCAACACCCTTGGCAGAAGGCAGCACGCTTGGCCTCAATACAAGGCAGTTTTGCGTAGTGCAGCAGGTTGAACCGCCAACTTAAAGGAGTTTGTTGTGATTTTCATTGTGAAGTTGAGAGCTGGAACAAGGGCTTGCCTGTCCAGCGCCCTGTTCTCCTCATTTGCAAATGCGGGCAGGAAGGAGGGAGGCAGCCCGTCATCTTCCTCCCCCCTGCCCGCGGTGGAGGCCGCCATGTCCCGCCCATCGCTCGCCTCCATTAACCCTTTCAGCTGCCCCCAGGCTGGACGTTCCACCTGGTGCAGGCCCTAAAGGGTGGGATTGGGCTTGTGGTGGTCGACTGGGATCCGCGTGTCTGTTCTCAAGCTTATGGCATGCTCTTTGTGAGATGATATTGACGTTTTCCTTCCCTCCTCTCAAAGCTTACACGATCGCCCAGCTTATTCCTGGTATGCAGCCCTAAAAGAGCTGCGAGCTCTCGAGGAGGGCAGCCCAGCTGAAAAGCTTCCGGAATGCGATTTCAATACGCCTACTGCCTCCTCTTACAGCTTGTGGGATTCTGCCTGGGCGCTCTGCCCTATGATTTAACTACCGTACCCATGCAAGCTGCAAATACGGTAGCTTTCACTCTGTGTATTCAAGTTGTGCTGTTGTTGGGACTCATAGAACTTGAAGTGGCCCAGTGTAAACTTGACGTGCCTATCCGACGACTTAGGTCGCTACATCTGGTGCGCTTTGATTCGTTGACCGTCGATGTTTCTCAACCGCGCTGATATTACATGCCCGTCGACGCTAGTATTGCTTCCTGAGAATCTGCATGATGTTGACGGCACTCCTATACAGGCTATAGTATGTACTCTCCTGAAAGCAGTACTTACCGGTATGTACGTGCATTCTGCCTCTACGATAGAGACTAGGTTCATGCCATTGTGGCTGAGCCTCAGCTCATTTTGAACCTTTCAGAAATGCAAGAAGGCGGGTCTACGCAAGTCCCAACGCCGCAGCACAGGTTGTCTTTGGGCCTTGGCCGAGGTACATGGTTGAGGAAGCTGCCCGGCTTTTCCCCAGCCCTCAAGGTCAGATTGAGCAATGCATAAACATTGTGGGAGAGCTGACGAGCTGACAACTCTGAAAGGAGACTGCTGATCGGCGTACTAGGTGGCGGGATTGTGCCCTAATTCCAATGCCCACCTGTCTCTTCTGAGCGCGCTAGCTGCATTCTGTTCTCAGACTCAGAGCTCCCACAAGAGGCAGGCGTGTTAAGAAGCTCACAGTCCAGCTCGCTCCCCTTCACAAACCTGCGGAGCGGCATGGCAATCCACCTGCCGCGGTTGTCCCCGGGGTGGGCGACCCTGCTGCTGAACGTGGTGGCGCTGACGTACAGCACCAATGGCGTCTTTGTCAAGAGCATAGAGACCGCGGAGCCCAAGCCCCTTCCTAGCTTGGCCTGTGCTGTTCGCTTCTTCATTGCTACAGCGGCCCTTGCAATCCTCAGTCAAGTCTTCACTAGCAAACCTTGTACGAGAAACCCTGCTCTAAAAACCACAGCAGACGGCGATAAAGAATTCATTGACGTGCCGCTGCGTGAAGTGCCACTCCCCTACATACCGAGCAAACAAGTGGAGCTGAACACCCCGCGCAATCGGCGGGGCGGCAGGACCCCGCTAGCCAAGCGGGGGGAGGAGGCAGACGCTCTTTTCGAAATCTCTTTGGACAGCGCCAAGGGGAGCGTGCGGGCCACCGCTCGGCTGAGCCCCTTTGGCTGCGGCCCAGGGGGGTGGCATCACGACTCTGCCACACCGCTTGGGGTTGCCCCCCACAGTGAAACAAAAGGGTTCAAAGAGAAGTGGTTGTACCCAGAAAACCCTCAGAAAGACCCGAATGACCCAGCGGAGAAGCTGTTGGGGAATGAGGTTGCGAGAGCTGAACCTGTTGGCCGGCGCTTGTCCCCTGTAGTGGCCAGCCTGGAGCTGGGCGTGCTGATGTTCCTGGGGTTTGCGGCTCAGGCGATAGCGCTGGAAACGGCAATGGCGGGGCATGTGGCACTGCTCTTCACCATCTCGGTAAGTGCAGCAAGGGAGCAAGAAGAGTGGTAGGCAAGGTGGGGCTTCTCTCTTCGATTTGAAAAGTTCAGCCACTCGCCGTTGCTGGCGCTCCTGCTCGCTTGACCCCTCTGTTTCACCTCTCAGATTTTGAGAGCTCTCAGTTTTTGGAGTACAAGGTCACAGTTCCTAGGGGACATCTCCAGACAGAGCTCAGACAGAGCTCTTGGCGGTTGTCCAGGAACAAACACAGACAAATCTGATAAGACAGCATGATGCAACAAAACAATCTCGTTACTTGATTTGAAGTTCACATCGGATACAGTGAATCCTAAAGACGAGTTCTTGGTGGAAGCCCTTTGTGAGTAACATCAAGTCCGTCCAGGACCAAGGCCTTGGGTTTCGGGACAAGCAGCCACACAAATTGACAAGGTCTCTTCGTCTGGGCCACGCGAATCATGCCAGGCCAGTGTGAGTCCCATTGTCAACGCTGACCTCGCATTTGCTGCCCACAGGTGATTCTGGTGCCTCTTCTGGAGTCGATCGGTGGCAAGCCGTTGACACCGGCCACCATGATCGCCACCAGTCTTTCTGTGATTGGTAAGTGGACTGCATCTTACAGTCCCTCTCGTGATACTCGTAAGTGACATCTGGTATCACTTTACAAACGCAATGAGTTCTTTTTCGACTTTATTCGAAACGCTCCACTTCTAATCAAGCACCACAATTCCTTACTGCCACCGCCCTGCTACGTGCCTCCTCCGTGCTTAAAAGCATGCTACCAACGGGGTCTCCTTGCTGCCAATCTTGTTGCCCATCCAGGCACCGGCCTCCTCGAGTACCGCGGCAAGGGCCTGGGCCTGGCACTGCCGTCGTTCGGCGACACGTGGGGCATCCTCTCCGCCACCGCTTTCGCCTTGCACGTGGTGCGATCCGAGGTGTACGCCAAGAGCTGGCGAGCGACGGGCGGCGGGAGCGAGACGCCCGCGCGCTGGCAACAAGGCCACAGCAGCGAGACTGTGCCACTTACCGCGGACCACCATAAGGTTGATGTCAGCACTGATCAGGGAGCCGGCAGTATGCAGACGACTCAGAATCTAGATACAAGCAAGACGTCGCGCTTCAGCAGGCTGGCACTCGACACTACGGAAATGGGCGACCAGCACCCGCGGGATCCCTCTGTAAAACAGCCGCCGGCAGCCGAGCCGTGGTCCCCGATCGCATTAGTGCTGATGCAAACGCTGGTGGTCAGCGTCCTGTCAGTCGTCTGGTGGGTGGTCGAACTGTCGAGGGGCCTCTGCCACGTGGCACCGACCCAGGAGATGAGCCAACTAGACACTGCCACGTGGATGGAAACGCTCGTGTACGAGCCCACCTGGCGCCAGCTGGCGCACCTACCGTGGCCGGCCATGGTCTACACCGGGGTGGTCTCGACAGGTGAGAGTCCCGTTTCTGCAAACCCCTTCCGCTCAGGCCGTGCTTTGGTTTTGTGTTCTTCGCCGCTTTGCTCTTACGATTGCATGAAATGCGCTGCATTGAAATGTGCTGGGCCGACAAGGAGCGGCAGCGTCTGCGCACCACGGCGTGTGCTTTTCGAAACCACGTGATGTTTCCTCTGAGATCCGGCCCAGACGGAACGTCGTATTGGTCTAAGGAGCGACTGCGGCACGCTATGAATCTGGCCGGAACTTTGAATAAGCGCCTGAATCAGTACCGTTCGGTGGATGGCAAAGAGCAGTCGGATTCTAGAGGAAAAGAGATGCTGACAGAGATGCAGCAAGAAGGTTCACCCCGTCTAGAATTTCCGACGCTCGATAGCTCCACGGCATGCCGTGAGCCTCGAGATGTCTGAGGAATGAAGGGCTGACACGGAACTGGTGGTAGCTGGCCGCTCTTGGCTCCGCCCTTCTGTCACCTTGCGACTTGCAACGGATTCTGAATGGTTTGAAGCTCTTCACAGGCCTTATTTACATGCTCTCAAGGTGACCGCTGATCCATTGTAGACTCTTTAGTGAGTTTTTTTTCACATACTTCCTCCTTCAGAAGCGGACGCAGCTTTTTGGAGGAATTGTTTAAGTGGATCCCCTTGCAGTAAACCTGCGTATTTCGAACCCTGCTGCCTCTCGATAAGAACCATCGAGCTTTCCTTTTTGGGTTTTTTAAGAGCATCCCCACCTGAGTTATCAGTCTCAACTCCGCTTCTTCAACCATACTGCAGGCATGTGCGAGTGGCTCGAGTTCCACTGCCTCCAGTCCGTGTGCGCGTCGACGTGCGTGCTGATCTACACGTCCATCTCCATCTACGGCGCCTTCTTCGCGTGGCTGCTGAGAGGCGAGACGCTCGGAGTGTCGGGGGTCGTCGGGGCGGCCGTCGTCATATGCGCGAGCGTGTGGGTGCAGCTCGCGGAGCTGCGGACGTCGAACTGCCAACGGGAAGGGGACACGTGTCCGCAGCAGCAAGGCAAAGGGTAAAACTAGTGTGCTTGACGGCTAACGTTGTAAGCTAGTAGGGGACTTCAGCATAGACAATTGGAGGCATTCGTTTGTACTCATATTGGAGAGCAGGTAGCAGTTTATAGGCCGGGACAAGCTCGCGCATCATAGCAACAACGCAGGTAGATGAGGCTTCGTAGACACAAGTAGGAACACTTCTGTAACTTCCATGTAACATGGCGTCGGAACTAGGGTGAAGCAGATTTTAAGAGACTCTCATCATTAGCCTGCTTCAGTGCCAGCTTGGTAAGCCGACAGCCCGGGACTTCAACAGACACCTCCGTTGATTGTTGGACGTTTTCTAGTTTGAGTTCCAGATAGGGCCGCCTTCCCTCCTCTGGCATCAAAACGACACAAACGAAGCGTAAAGAACCTCTTCTCTGTTGGCCGCCGAGAATTTTGTTCCTCACATGTGGGCTCCCTCAGCGATCTGACTAGTCCGCAATACTACTGGTAGGGGTGACAACAAACGGGTTCTTCGATGAATGAATACAGCGATTCAATCGAGATTTCCCCCGATTGCAAGCAGTCCAAATAGCATCAACGACTTCAGGTCGATACTTATACTATAATCACTCTGTTATATAACTCTGCGCCCCACCAAGAACCGTGAAGAACCAACCAAGACACACGAAAATTCTGGCATTGCCCACCCGCTTGTCCATGCATGGTCGCCGCCGTTCGTATTCCAGGAGATGGCAATCTGACCTCTGCGGCCCCTCTGGGCTGACCTGATAGTGACCATAGCAGCGGAGCCGCAAGCCCATTGGGTTTGAGTCATGCCCGACGCTAGGAGCAGTACGCTCAATTTGCCCAATCGACAAAATTAAGTTCTTCGCACATGCTCAGACGTTCACAGTGGGGCGGCCGTAATTTCGGATGATCATGCACCAGTGCGACTGTTTGGATACGATTGGGTACGCTATCAGGTGGAGGTGTACCATTGAGGATTATCACATGCATATGCATGAACTAGAGCACACTCCTAGCTTAAATGTTTGTCCTTATAAAAGTTGTGAAAGTCAAAGTTTGATACTTGCCATACTTGCCGTTTTGGTGGGAGCTCTCGAAGGGAGCTCTTAATTAGCATCTCAGAAATTACTTGGCCTTCAAAATAGGTACATAAATTGATGAAAGCCCATTCGACCTATTTAGCTGTTTCTTCATTTTCTGAAACGGTCGCCACATCTTTAACTCATTTCAACGTCGTCGGTTTACTCAATCGACTGAGGAAGGTAAAACGTGTTGCTACACTCAAAGCGACTGCCACCCGCGAGAGCCACGCTCGGCCTGATCGGCCCACCCCCTTCATGCTGCACCTTCAATGGCAACTTCATGATCGAGCTAGGCTTGAATTGCACTGATGTATTTCTGCCGGTGGGACGAACGCGGCCGCACTGCGGCTCGGGGGGAACCAAAGAAGGTTTGGGGTTTCCGCCACGTCCGGCGCGCGTTTTCTTGCGAACAGTTCGGCTAGGTTCATGTTCCACCAGGCGGATCAAGAAGCCAGGGGGCTCAGCTAAGTGCCCGGAGCTGGGCAGATTTGCTGCCTAATAAGCACCCGGGGCATTGGTACCATGCCGTCACTAGCCGTCGGACAGCCCCGAGAGAGGTTTGTCCCGGGAAAACAACAGCTGTCGTCACCCACAATCATTAGGCGTTGGGGACAATAATGCAGCTAGGGAGATCAAAGATTTTGCTCTGGACAAGTGGCCAACCTGTCACAGCTCAAGGCGGCAGGCCCGCAGCATGCAGCCTGAGCAGGGAGCATCAGTGCAGTGTGCACATCCTGCTCGCCCAGCATCTGCCGCAGCCTCAGGAGAAGGATTTCCAGCTTCCTCACAGATGCAGACATCGAGGGGCGACGTATCCGAGGCTGCTTGCGGTGGTACACCGTACAGGCCCGTTGGCGTCGCGACAATCGACAATCTCGAGGCTCTCTCAGCTCCTTGCTGCAGCAACCTCCTCGCCAAGTTGTGAAACATATCTTGCTGCACTCTTGTACAACACCTGTACAACATCTAGGGAGCTAGAGAGAGCCACGAAAGTGACAAATGCAATTGGGTGGGTATTTCCAATAAATACACCTTGCCTTCTCTGCGGCTTTTTGCTGAGAAGGGGTAAAATCAGATTATGGGTGCAGGCTATTACTCCTGGAACTTTTTACCAGAGTCCTGTGCCGGCACGGAAGAGCGAGGCCAGGGAAGATTGGTGTACTCAGACACCGTCGTGAATGTAGGACGACAGAGGTGACCAGGTGTCCTGTCCAAGCGGCACCTGTGTAGAGCACAGAGTGGCGCTGACGCAACCACATTGCGCTGGCTAGTCCTCGGTGGCCTGTTCACATCATGTCAAGTGTGGAGATCCTGCAGGCACCGCGGCCAGATGTGAACAGCACCTCTGCAGAGGACGGCGCTGCGACGAGCTGGGAGGAGTCGTACAAACCTTTACCCGTCATCTTCCTGGTCTTGTTTGGAATATGGGCAGCACTTCTGGCCCTGTGGTGCGTGAACACCTGGACAAAGCGGCGCTATCAGGTGAGGCGGGTGCATGCAGCCAGATCCTGATGCAGTGTAGGCACTCTTGACACCACATTGCGCTGTCCAGTTCTTCAAGTCTCTCAACTGCTGGTCACACGTGTGACGTAGTCGCATCACGTCACATTGCTGTCTGAGGATACACTCTGGGGAGGTGTTTGCTGCTCTTTCTGAGAAGGGGCTTTGAGATAATGCATGACCAAAATGCTGCCACGAAATGCTGCCTCGAAATGCTGTCCCAAGATCTATTGCTTCCTAGCTTCAAATCTGGAGATGTCTCTGTATCACACCGTCCATTCCGCGTTCAGACTTGCTCAGTAGTAATACAGCAGTGCTTTTCAGTCACCTTATGTTTTCAGGAGAGTCAATGCCTTTCTCATGTTCTGCTCGGGACTTCTTCGGGGTGCCTGAAATTGGAATGTGTGCACACTGTTTGCAGTGTCTACAGCCTGAGTGAGTAAGCAGATAAGCGGGCAGTAAAGAGAAAATGTGCAAGACAAGCTTCAGCGTGTCACTGCGGGTGCTAGCGCAGGTCACAAAATTTCCTCCACTCTGAGACGCGCTCCTGGCGGTTTTGCAGTTGAGCAACCTGCAGTGGGCTCTCACATCGGTGCCGCTTCTCAAGACGCTGGTGCTTGGCATGTCCCTCGTCTTCTGGTGAGCATTGTCTCGTCGCCGCTCATGGAAATGCTGGTGTCATTGATGATGGCTTGCGGCGTGAGAACGACACGCTCGTGACACTAGTGATCATGCAGCAGACAATCCGACAGTGCGTCAAGGGGCCTTTTTTATTTGTTTTTTTGGAGAGACAGTGTCATTGTGTGGCGGGACAACGTACAAGCCGCCTCGGAACTTTGACCAGCAACCTGGTCAGCTGCTCACAGCACATTGTTTGTATCATCTTTTGAAAGCTGACGATTCCACCCCGTCTGATTGTGTGTTAGCCAATTCTGAACTCATGTGGATTTAGGGTTAGGTAACAGCCTCCTTCAAAACCAAGGACGCGGTCACAGCAAGCACACTTGACATCTTACCCGGTGACCAGTTTCCAGTCTGAGCAAAGCTCTTGAGTAGCGCACCAGTGATCGACCTTGCTCACAAACCTTTCACTCCTGCAGTCTAGTTTCCCATTAAAACTTTGTTTGCAACCTCTCACATAGATAACCAGCTTCAAAGAGTTTCTGTCTGTACCTTCTATACCCAAACTTGCAAAACTTCTGCCCTAACCGGTCGCTGCGTCCCCCTCGCTGATCTGTCCTTGGCTGTCTGCCCGCAGGTACTCGTGCCTCTCGCTGGACACGTGCTCCTTCTGGGTGGCGTTTGGCGTGTTTGTGTCGCGCATCTTCTTTGAGACGTCCTGCTTCGTGGCGTTCCTGCTGCTGGCCCATGGTTACTGCATAACCCATGAGCAGCTGACCCTGACCGAGCGCCGCAAGATTGCGGTGCTGGCGGGCCTGCTCTACCTCACCCTCACCGGCTACAAGGCCGCGCTGCCCCAGTTCTCGGTGAGGCGTTCGCGACAACTTGACTTCCAGAAAGGGGGAGATATGTTTTCTCTGATGGCATTGGATGGCTCTTTTGTTCGCCTGACTTATCACGGCTTGGAGGCATGCAGAGTAATGGAAAGAAGCGATTGCTTCATAGCAGGAAGTGTAAGCTGCTGAGATGCATCATGTCATTATTTTGAGGAATGTCAGGTATCTTGCTTCCGAGCATGACTGTCATCGGACCCTTCATGTCCCTGCTTCAGGCCAAATCCTCAGTACATCTTTTTAGGAGGTCCGCAGTTTCGTGGTTCCATGAAAGTCATGTTGTAAATCCAAGCAAGCATGATCCATTTGGAGGGTTCCTTACTCTGAACGTGTGCTCACTTGCGTTGCTGCCCTGGCCTGGTGTTATCCCCAGGTGCTGGTGGCGGTGATCTACCTGCTGCTGCTGTTCGTCATCTTCCACCAGACGGGCGTGAACCTTGCGCACCTGCGCGCGCAGCAGCAGGGCATCCTGGAGGACGGCCTGCAGGGAATGTACTGCGCAGTGCACAGCAAGTACCGCATGTTCAGGTGACGACACGAGACGAGACCGGCTTGTTTGCCCTGCCGAGCGCTCTGTTGGGTGGCTGCAAAGTACCTAAACGAGTGCAGTGCAGGCTGAAATCCATTTGCTTCGTAGGAAGTTATGTAGTGCAATCATGTATTCTGGCGCCTTCTTTGAACTTCCGGGTTTTGTGCCCATGTCGAGCACCAGCCCTGCGTACTTCGTTGGAGGGCGGGAGTTGTGAGGAGGCTTGGGGTTTTAGTTGCACGATATTCGAGTCTGGCAGCCTGCCTGTTGGATTTGCTATGGGATCGCCAATTGCCCAAGACCTCAGCCAGGGTGTTGAAATCGACTCGTGTGGGAGGAGTACGCGTGGCAGGCAATTTCTGCTCCCATCTGAGATCGTTGCCGCTGCCCGTGCAGGCGCTTCCAGGGTGCGATGGCCTTCACTCTGGTGGTCGAAGTGCTGGTGAGCACTGCTGGTCACAGTTGCGTGTCTCGTGTCAACGCGGAGCGGGTGTGGTCTTACAGGACATAGAGCAAGTGTCCTGATCTCAGTCATGTCGCTTCAAGCGTTTCGTCGAGGCGCAAGTCGTTCCGCTGAGGCGCAAACAATTGCGCTCTGAGGTACCTGCGACAGAGCAGTCTTTCCCCCCGTTGCTATTCAAAGTGGCTGCCTTCGGGTCTACCGTTACAAGCAGGACGCTCTTGTCTGACCGCAAGCGGATTTATTTGCGGCTTTAAGCTCCCTTCCAGCCCACAACTTATGGTGTTTGTCGCGTCCGTTTTTTGGGAGAAGTTCTCCCCATCTTTAACTCCTCGCCCTCAAAAAGAGTCGCAGAGCTAACCTCTTTGCATCCGTTCTCCCGATCACAGTATTGGCAACACAAGTTGCCCTACTTCTTTCCTTCTCTCGTTCCGGCGGACAACTCCTCGTTGTCCTTGCCGGCGCTGACCCTTTGTTTGGCCGCTTGCCTGCGCTCCTGTGGTTCAGATGCATGCCGGGGGGGAGGGTATGGCCGATGAGTACTGGATCCGGTTGCTCGTGCGGGAAGTCCTCGAGCTGGGCATCTTTGCGTTCATCGGGTAAGGGGGCCCGCGCTGCCCGACAGAAGGTTCTGTGCTAGGAAGAGAGCCATTGGCTTTTCTTATATGAATTGGATGTTTAATCATGAAGGTGAAGCTGCCAGTTGTTAGGGAAGCGGAAGCGCGACTGCATGCAATTGGTGACGTGTGCATATAAGCAGCCTGGAGAAAGGGCTGAAGCTTGCTACCCGTGTTCGTTGCGTCTGCTGTCAGGATTTGTGGTCAAGGAAGCCGTCCGAGTCCGTGGGTGTCGTGAAACTGCGCCACCTTTTCCTTTGCTACTGCCTGTGGTTTCTTTACACCGGGTTCCAAAAAGATTGAGGTAACTCAAGTCGACGTCAATCCAGAGCCGGGATCGAAGTCGTCTTTCCGTTCTGGTGCAGGTGGACGTTCCGGTCGCGGCAGCAGAGCCCCTTCTTCGCAGTGATTCCGACCGTCCAAGAAGAGGAGGGCCCGCGGAAACTGCCGCCCATCCACAGCGTGGTCAGTGACAGCCCTTTCGTTTCCCGGCATCGTTTGATTGCGCCCCATGGTTGCTCCTTTAGCCATTCCCTTTACTTTCTCTTTTGTGAGGAATTTGCTGCTTTCGTCCGACAATCTCCTTGACCAGCAAGATGCGCCCCACTCGCCAGCCCAAAAAGAGGTTTGTATTGGTTTCCCAATTGAAGCAGCTGTGGCCCACTTAAAGAAGCGGCACATTCTGCTTGGCTTTTAGATTCGTTCAAGTTTTCCTGCGGCACCATCTTCAGGCGGAGATGAAGATCCACAGGCGGCGGTTCAAAGCGATGTCTGAATTCTTGGCGACTTCTGGCTGCTCGACGAGGGGTGCAGGATGCTCGATGATGATCAACTATACGCTATTCTGAGCCCGAAGGGCAGTGCGGATAGCAAGATTCACTGAGAGTTCCTTGGCCTCCTTTGGTGCGTAGCACCTAATGTCGATGCTGGCGGCCTTCTTTTTTTGCAATCTTTCCTTCCTTCGTGTTGGTAAGGTTCCTGAGTGGTGTCTGTTTGGTTCCAAGTACCGCTCCACAGTGCGTCATGCGCGCTGTAAACGGTATTTCTTCGGCTAGTGACGGTGACAGCGATTTATACTGGCCAGAACACCTCGTGGGTTGGGCCCACAGGGACTTCGCAACTGGTTGAATGCGGTTTATTCCTCGCCGGTTGATTCTAGAACCCAAGTCCGTGGGCCCGTTCGGCCCCCAGGGTGCTCGCTTCCTTGTTTGAACCTCTCATTTGGCTGCAGGAAATGGACGAGAACGAGTTCCGAAGCGCCGACTTCCGAGATTGGCACATCGGGGTGGTGAGTGAACTGGGCACACGAATGGACGACAGCTTATCAATCAGCGAGCCCTAGATTTACCGGATGAAGGCCCTTTGCTCTGTCCCAAAGCACCTCCAGTTCCCTCTTCTCGTGATAGACCACGTCGTCTGCCACATACAAAAGACGTGTTTCTTTTCAGCTTCTCTGCCGTTCAGAAGAACATTCTGACGAGTTTGCTTCCGTGTGCAGCCCGCGAGTGCAGCCTACGGCGCCCCGTACGGTCCCGCCATGATCGTCATCGTCCAGAATCCGTGCGAGCTCATGATGGCCGACCAGCCAATCCCGAGCCGCCACCTCAGCACACCGCCTCCGGCGCCCCAAGCCTCTAAAGCGCCCGATCCTATGCACCAGCGGCGAGTACCTACTGGTTTCGGAAAGGCTATAGAGGAGCGGCTTAGAGCGACATTCAGGTGTGGGGCGTTGAATCCTTCAGTTTCCCAAAGGGTGGGGACTTCCAGACAAGCTTTTGGTTCTGCCTTTGAGAAGGCGGAGCCAAAGCTTGTTACAGGGGCAGCGGGAAACGGTAAAGAACTGGGTCTGTCACAGGACTGTTCGCATTGTGGGAAGCCGGTGGATCGGCCCTTGGTCGAAAAGAAACTGGTCGTGGGGTCGAAGATTGGGGGTTTCGGGGAAGATGTGCAAACGGCCGCGATGGGTGGGCTAGAGTGCCCCGACAAAAGGCGGCATGCCTGGGGCTCTCACACATGAGCGAGAGGGACGTCCCCGTGTGTTGATGTAGATTAGTCGTCAGTCAAGTCAGAGCATACAAGCTCAAAATTGAACGGAAGAGTCTCTCAAAGCGTCGAGTGCGCTTTTGAAAGTGGCAAACAACCATCTCTTGACAGTTAGCAAGCCTGTCAAGTCCCGAACAGATTGTACCAAATGCCCCAGCCACAATCGAACATATAGCTGGCCTTCTTTGTTGAATCCAGCTTGATTACATTCACCTTTGGTGCTTCATAGAGAGTGATACTGCAGGCTAGGCTAGGCTAGGATTTGAGATGACTCGGAGCTGGCGTTAAACTTACCATCTTAAGAGTCACTGCCACGTGAAGGCTCAGAATGTAAGTAATGATATAAAAGAACTGCCGATTTCAAAAAGATATCCTGAAGTTGACGTGAGTCCGACTTGAAGTCCGCAATTCAGACAACTAAGCCAGGCTGATCGGCCCTTTTGCATGCACCTCACTTGCCAATAATTGGTCGTATATCAGACCCGGTAGAATTCGGATGCACTCCCTGCTCATGAATTGTATAGCAAGCTAGCTGGTCATTTCAATCCGGCCTAAGTAGGCGGCTGTGCACGGTTGATGATGAGGCTCAGTGGCCGCATGCGCGCGCCTTAATAAGGTCCGCCTTCGGTCATGCATGCCAGGGTTCAACGGTTGCTAGCGCGCTGCCTGGCATGTGTTTGTTGATTGACTGCCTGCAGATGACACGATCCGATCGGTCACGGTCTGCGCCCAGCTAGCGGCGGCAGGAAATTGCGATCACACGGAAAATAACTAGCTATAGCTTGCTGCTAGTAAAAGTAATAATATAGTAATAAATGACTCAGTGAGCTCATTCAATATTTTTCAAACACGATCAGTGACTGAACATGGCGTATAGCAGCGAGCAAAATCGACGTGTAGAGCTTCTAGTACGAGCAGCGCGCATGGATTCTTACCCGACGCATCAAGACTCAGAAATATGGCAGGCCGCGCCGTGCGCGTGAGCTCTGTACGCGCTCTGCAACATATATTATATTTCATCATGTGCATGCGCAAATTACCATATCATTCGAATCACAAGGCGTATACATGGCATTGGGTACCCGCGCGATCGATCATTGGCAATCGAATCATTCTATATGATCCGAAATGTATCATAATGTCTTAAATTGCATGAGACTCATGCAGACAATGAGGGATTTGATGACACTAATAGCATAGTATACGCCGCGCGCGCTATAAACTAGCCGCCCTGCTCGCGTGCACAGTTCAGACCCATAACATGATAAGTAAACCTGGTATGTTTACACCAGTGAGCCCATGCCGCCTAGTTAGCTCTGAATTAGCGGGCCTTCTCCACAGTGGCACATGACACAATGATGCACATGATCAGATCTGAAAGAGCAAATGGAGACACCGATCGAACTTTTTTAAGGCCCTCATCCAGTCAATCAATCATCATCTTGAATGCCTTACAATCGAGATTGGAGCCAGCCTGCTAGAGAGCAAACGAAAAGCGATTGAGCCTGGCAGCAGTTTCCCGCAAAGCAAAGAGTTCTCAGGCCTAACAGTCCCAGCTAGGTGGCCGTCCGACAAACACATCGGATTGATCAAGTCACGCATTTTCAATAAGCAAAAGCCAACTGTTGTCCTCCGCCTCAAATCAGCCATTGCAATTGCAATTGCTCTATCTCAATTACGGTAAAGCTCGCTATGGTCCGCGGGGGCGGCCTGTGCGCTTACAGCGCTTGAAGCAGACCTTTCAACACAAGCTTCGACGGGTACCTGCAAACACGACAGAAAGCAGTGAGCTATGAGGATGGCAATCGTGACGATCGGTTCGGGCCTATGAAAAACAATGTCTACTTCGGCATGATGCGTTTCTCCAGAAATTTAGAGCACAGGCAGGCCCGCAGCCTCCAACAGCATACAAAAACTCAAGCAGCTTGCAAACTCTTCTAAAAAGGCAAAGTCTCAAGGCAGACAGCGGACATCACGCATGCTGCTCATCTACATGCGAGTGCCGCAGCAGGATTGGCAAGCTCAAAAAGGAAACAGCGCACACCCAGATGAACCTGTACTACAGTTCGCAACTCCTTGACAACGCAACAGCTGTATGGAGAAACCTCAGCAGTTGCGTTCCTCACCCACAGCTGCCGCAGCCTCTTCCCCCCGCCACTGCAGATCAAACACCATGCACCGACCCCTGCTCGCGTGAACTAGTCCTCACCAGTCTTTTCAAAGGTTGCGTAGCGTCTCCAAAAGCACCTCGATCATTGCTTAAAGCAACTACGTTGGCCGCCCGGGTTAATTAACAGCCTCGCCCCTTAAAATCAAGCTGCGCACCAACCTTGGTCGCACCTGCCCTCTCCAAAGCCGCGCCCCCTAAACGCGCTCTATTCAGAGGGCGGCCCTTTCAGCTCCCCAATCGCTTTTCCCAGCAGCCGGTGGAACAGGCCGGGGTGTTCGCGCTCCAACTTGGGGCACTTTCGGAGAATTCTCAGCGCTACCCCCGGTTGCCCGACGTCAATCAGATTGTAGACGAGCCGGATCACGTTGGACAGCCGCACCGTGACTCTGTCTTCTAGACTCGCCTCAAACACCGCCACCGCGGCATCCAACAACCTCTTCCCGACAAGAAACTGGAACAGGCACTTGTGGAGCCGCGTGGGCGGCCCCTCGTGCGCCACCTGTCCCACCACGAAGCGCCGGTGCTCCTCGAACGCGGCCATCAGCGGGATGACGTCACCCTCCCCTTTGCGCAGCTCCGCCTCGAAGAGCGGCGTCGGCGTGTCGATGGCGTAACAGCGGCCCCGCGCGTCGAGCCAGCGGATGACCTGCCACGCTTCGGCCGTGTCCCCCGCCCGCGCTTGCGCCACCAGCAGAGACTCCAGAGCCACGTCGACTCCAGGTACAGTCCGGTACGGCAGCCCCGCAGCAGTGACACGTGGCAGCATCGCCACGACCTGCGCCAACGCCTCCCCGGCCTTACTGACGTCACCCGCCTCGAGATGCGCTCGGCCTTGCTCGAGCAGCTTCCCCCCGACCTTCAGCCGCGCTGCGTCAATTTTTTCAACAAAGGCCGGGCGTCCCGCGCGGTGGTATGCCCGGGCGAGGACTTCGAAGGTGCGCCCGTGCGGCATGGCCCCGCCGTTGCGAAGGACGGCCAGAAACTCGAGCCCCGTCTGCTCGTACCCGTGCTCCGCGTACTGGGCGACCAGCGAGTCAAGCATTCTTTCGTTGGGCTTCGCCACGGCTTTCAGGTACACGTCAAGAAGGTATAGCGCCTCGAGAAACTTGCGCTCCTGCGAGAGCGTCTGGATCGTCGTTACAAACGGCGCGTAGTTACCTGTCTCGCCCACTAGCAGGGTCGCCCCCACGGCCAGCTCCAACTGCCGCGCATGGATCAGGCTCCTCACGAGGTCCCTTCCCGCCGACTGCACCTCGTCCAGCGGCAAACCTTTGCCCAGACTCCCCTTGAACGCCGCCACCGCCTCGTCGAACGCCCCCGCTTTCATCAGCTCTGCCGTCAGCACCTGTTCCGTCCGCATGCGGCTCGCGGGCTCCTCGGGGGGCCAGCAGTCCTGCACCGCGCGCGCCAGCGCAAAGTGGCGCCCCCGAGCCAAGTACCGGGTCACTGTGGTAATGAGGGCCGACTTCCGGGACACCCGCGACCGCTCCATCTCCATTCCACATGCGACGCTGAGACCCGCTACTAACACCTCCCGGTCCAGGGGATCCCCCTGGAACCCCTTTGCGAGCATCCGGCAGGCCCGATCCAGGTGCGCCCACTCACAAAGGCCCCGTTCGACCCGCGCCGCCAGCTCCGCCCTAACGTCTGCAGTGGCCGGCAGGGACCGCAGAACGTCCAACAGGGCCTCTGCTCCAGCCTGAACATGATCGTCGGAACTGGGGTCCTTCTCCGAATCGCCAGCCGACTTCGTTGGCGGTGTGATGCTTTCGCGCTCGGCATGCAGAATCCGGACCTGAGTCTCTGCACGGACCTCCCGCTCTCGGAACGGTTCTGCTGCTACCCGCCTTCCCTGTTGCTTGAGCATTTCTACATCCACCCTCTGTCCTGCGGGCACCACCCCGCTCCTCTCTTCACTCACCAATCTTCCTTGCTGCGAACGCCTGTCTGCTGTCTCAGCCCCCTTTGAAAACGCGTCTCTGCCCTCCACCTTCCGTTCTTTCCCCCTGATATCCCCTTCAGCCCTGCCCCTCCCCTCCAATTGCCCAACCGCTGGCCCTCTCCTTTTCGCCTCCGCCCCTCCTTTGTCCTCCACGAGCAAAATTGCCTCCCCTTTCCTTCGCCTGTCTAGTTGCCAGCTTGCCCCATCCTGTTTCCGTGACCAGCCGCCCAAGACAAACTGCCCCGTCAGCTTAAACGCCCGAATCCTCTCCTTTTCCACCTCATCCTGAAACACCCACCTTGACGTGGGGCCGTCTTCAAACCACTCCACCTCGTTCTTCATTGCTAGGTAGTCTCGCACACCCAGCCCACGGGGACGAACCCCTCGAAAGCCTACGCCAGCCATTGGCTCCCAGTCAAAGACTTTCTCCGTTTGCAGTCCTGCTCCCCGCTTCTGTGGTTCCCGGCTTGCTGGCACTTCAACTGACTGGGGGGATGCAGATGAAGCCCTGGCTCCTCTCCCGCTGGTCGCCGGACGCTCGTGTTTGGCCCCAGACCAAACTCGCTCTGCCGTCTGCATTTCCGAAGTGTCTCCTTGAGCTCTTTTCCAGCCACCCTCCGCCAATCTTTCTCCGTTTTTGGCACGCCATCCTCTGCCGTTCATGTCGATCTCGGCCTCCGAAGCGCCCCCAAAATCGTGCTCCACAGCTTCGGCATACTCCAAGGCCTGGCCAGAGAAGCACCTGGCCTGGGGCCTGCAATGTCCACTACAAATCAGCATCAGTGCAGCTGTAAGCCTGTTCTTTCCGACAAAGTGGCGGGCCCCCTCTTGCGTTCCTCCGGATGAAGCCCTGCCCGGCCTAGCCCCAGATTGCAATCCTAGACAACTAAAGCTCCAAACGAATTGTTCGAAATCCTGGTACATGGCAGGGCTTCATGAACACCTGGCCTTGACTGTTTTGGAACCGTAGTACTGGCGTGTAGGCAGGATGGAGGGAGTTGGTCGCACTTCACTAGCTCAGTGTGCGGCGTTGGCAAGCGGGCATCTAACATCAACAGCAGAGGAGAAGGAAGGAGCTGAGATATTGGTTCACCAGCGGTGGTATAAATAGTTGGTGCAATGCTGTCAGACCCAGAAGAAAAACCACGCACGCAGCCACACAGGAAAGGCACCCGGCTCTCACCTCCATCTTGGGTTGTTGCTGGAGAGTACACACCACTGCAGCTGACGCCGCAGCGCCGCCATCCTGAATCCTGATCGGACTGCCTCATCTGCAGCCTGAAGAAAAAGTAAGAGCGTTAGCACCTTGTAGCAGTCTGTTGATGATGTTTGCAACCTTCCCTCAGATTGGGGGTATGAGCAGAGTGTAGAATGTTGCAGTCAGAGACGCTCGGTGCACGTTTTTGTCTCATTTCAAAAGACAATGTTAACTGGCAACAGAGGACTGCTGCACCGTGGAAACCTTTTCTGGTTGGCTGGATACAAGGGTGTAATGCCAGGGGCTACCACCACTGCAATTTTGAAGATAGGCCGTGATGCTTGGTGGTGTGCGCAATGTTCGACTTACCTTGCGCTTGAAGAAATCCTGCAGCAGAAAGCCGCTCCACAGACAGCATGCCGATGTGGAAATGAGTGTTAACACAAATTGGGAGAGTGCCAAAAGTCATTGGTCTCTTGCCAGTGGACTTCCAAAGTTGAAGATCTTTGGGTGGGAGTTGCTCCCAATGTGGCTGCTGGGGGCAATGGCAAGACAGATTTGCAAACGCCTTATTGCATCACAGCCGTCAAAGCTTCCATTTGCCTCATTCAGAAGCCCCACGCTGTGGCTTATCAGCATGGATTGTGCTCAGCATCTCCCCCGGCCCAAACAACAGGACCTTGACCATTGTCGTTAAATTTGAATGCTACAACCACCACAAACCTGCGCAATGCACGAGGGCGTCACGGTCTGGACAGCTCTTCCACATGCCATTGCCAATGCAAGCATTGAAGCAGCCCTGAGGCTGTATTGGAATCTGCACGAATCCACTTGAGCTTCGATGTCAGCCCCCCGTCAACCCTAAAGTTCCTAAAATGTACAGCCCAAAACCCCAGGAGTTCTTAGGGGCTAGATTCAAGCAGCTGAAAGGTTCTAGGGTTTTGCGCTGCAATACTTCAGGCTCTGTTGCAATCGACTTGATCAAAGAAACCATCAACTCTTCCAAGCTGGAAAGCAGGCGATAGACGCATCGACCCTTCTATCGGTGCAGCAGCCATGGCTACCAATGGAGATACAGAGATTGCTGAGGTTGATGCGATGGCCACCGATGAGGCGGCACCCGCCGACGATGCACCACCGGCTGAGACCGCCGCAGAGTTGAAGGCGGACACAAAGACTCTGGAGAAGGGCGTCGAGAAGCAGGCTACTGATCCAGAATCAGCGCTCGAGATATTTGGTCGGATCATGGCGGACGACTCTGCGGGTGCGGAGGCTCTGAGGGTGAAAGAGCAGGCCATTCAGGCGACGGGGGATATACTGGCGAGTCAGGGCAAGGCCCAGGAGCTGCGCGAGCTGCTGAAAAGCCTGCGGCCTTTCTTTGGTCTGATCCCTAAGGCAAAGACGGCCAAAATTGTGCGCACAATCATTGACCAGGTGGCGAAAGTGCCAAACTCCACACACGTGCAGGTGGAGCTGTGCAAAGAACAGGTGAGGTGAAAGAGTTGGCCAGGGCTTGGTGCGCAAGTCAGAAGCAATATATGTGCAATTTGCTGGCCGACTTTTCTAGCCAATCTTATGATTATGTGTGCTATTCAGCAAAAATTTGTTGGACGCAAAATGGATGGCAGGAAAGCTTGCAAAGGCTGATTAACATTCTTCAATCTCCTGATCAACGCTGACAAGGTTTACAGCATGCACGTTTTGAATCATAGGACTGTGCCTCAATCAGCTGACGGCCTAGCCGTATGCAAAATCAATGGTCTCTGTTCTCAGTGGCGAGCTCAAGACCTGAAACAAGACTCTTCTCCCACGGCGCTGTGAAGTGCAATCTGCTCCAAGCTTGAGTTGCAAACTAAATTGCATCATTTTGTTCCCGCTGGATTATAGGTGGAGTGGACAAAGCAGGAGAAGAGGAGCTTCTTGCGGCAGAGGGTGGAGTCTCGATTAGCGGCGCTATACATGGAGATCGGGGAGTTCCAGGGAGCGCTGCAATTGATAGGTGAGGCGCTGCATGTATATACTTTCCATACTGTTATGACCGTCTTTAGCATGCTATGGCGTAAAGAGGTTGTTTGCCACCATCTGGTGCTTCAAGTACTATTGAACCACCTTTCGATTGAAAGGTGGTTGTCCTGCTTGCAATCAAGATATATTGCAGCTGTGGTAATATCCTGGCAAGTCAGCAACTTGTGGTACGTTGCTGCCTTGGAAGCAAATTGATCTCATAGTAGGTTCTTATGAGATATGTCTATGCCTCATCAGGACTCTATGCTTAGATTCTCCAGTGGATCCACTTCCCCATGGATCGGAATCTCAGACTTTAGACTCGGAATATGACTAGCTTGTCAGGGTGCCGCAGTCACGGCGGCTGCTGTTCGTTGTGGATCCATCTGGTTTTCGTTGCCTGGACACAGTGACAGTGGTGTGTTGGTAGTGTTCTGGCTGATTCAATTTCAGATAGGCAGGGGTTCTCAAAGGTTGAAACGTGTTCCTAGTTTCGTGCGCGCTCTACAACAGCACAGTCCTTATCAAGTAGCCCTCTCAAGTAGTGGATGTTTTCGTGCTGTCCAGGCTCGTTGCTGCGGGAGGTGAAGCGGTTGGACGACAAGCTGCTGCTGGTGGAGATCCACTTGCTGGAGAGCAAGCTGCACCACGGCCTGCGGAACCTGCCAAAGGCCAAGGCAGCGCTCACAGCAGCCAGGTCGGTCAGCCATACCGTGGAGCTTGAGGCTTCTAAATCAATATCCACATGTACAAAGCAGTCGATCTGCTGTCTTCTCGCGTACGAAGTTCCTTACTTCTCAAGAGGCTGGGATAAGACTTTTTGTGGTGTTTTCCTTGGTCGGAAGGTGGTAGAGAAGGAGAAGGCCGTTTACATCTTGCAGCCTTAAATTGTCCCGCTTTATTGATTCTCGGAGGAAAGAAAGGCAAGTTTTACGGTATTAGGAAGATGCGAAATTATTCCGTCACTTGTTACAGATGAATTTTGTTCGCAGCCCTCTGAGATCGGGCTAGCCTGGACAAACAACCGTTGGTATGATGGGGCTGACAGTGGTGCAATGACTCAGAGTTCTTTGGAACACCGAGTCAAAATCGGACACAACCACCACTTTGCTGAATGAAAATGCACAAGTTGTTCCTTTTCCCAGACTAAGTGGTTCACGACTGACTCAGTTCACTGAAGTTTTCTCAAAGCATTGTCGTTGTCTCCTTTTTGCTGGACAATATGTCAGGGCCCTGTTTTTGAGTCGCCGCTGCTGCTTTGCAGGACCGCTGCCAACTCGATCTACGTCCCGCCAGCACAGCAGGGCCTGATTGACATGCAGTCCGGGACGCTGCACGCGGAGGAGAAGGACTACAAGACGGGGTACTCCTACTTCTACGAGGCCTTTGAGGCCTTCTCCGCGCTGGACGACCCCAAGGCCGTGCTCTGCCTCAAGTACATGCTGCTCTGCAAGGTGCGTACTATATGGTTCCGCGGGACTTTCCGCCAAATGTTTCTCACCCTGACGAGGATAGCCAGGTGTGGTGTTCCTGTTTTCGCAAGGTCTCTGGAGCCGCAGTTGGAGGGGCGGCTCGAGCCATTGAAGTTGGCCAGAGTCGGTTGAGGAAGCGATCAGCGGTGTTTCGAGGTTTGATGTCTTTTGAAGCATGCGAGTATGGTGAAGCCGTTTCCGCTTCTTCGTAGATTGCGTCTGTCTCTTGACTGCCGCTGGCCCATGCCCCATTCATCCGTTGGAAACGAGTGCAAGAGAATCAGGGCCGATGTCGGTCATCAAGTTCGACGTACTGCCTTTGACGTGGGCGATTGTTTCGGGCCTTCTAAAGACTGATTTAGAATTGAGCGTTGAGGCCCCCCCTAGTAGCAAGGCTTTGTTTTGAACTTTGCCTTGATTGCAGGATAAATGGTAACCAGGCCGGAACTGAAGGTTGAGTCCGATGATTGATGGTAGTACCGTTCCTCATTTTCAGTGACTCAAGGGCAGAGTCTCAGCTCATATAAAGGCACTATCGCCGGGTGTTGATCCATCAACATTGCCAAACTCCAACGCCTGCTTACTAATGCGCTCACAGTATCTTTGCAGTGCATTCTGAAGGTTTGTAAACCTTGGGATTAGCCTTGAGACCAGCACAAGTCCGCAAGAGACGAAAGAAACGTTCGCCACTCCCTTGTAGATGGTCACAGGCGTTCCTCAGGATTGGTCTCCGCCACTGTCTTCTTAGCCTCCGTATATGGGTCCAATTGCAATCCTTATCGGCGGACCTTGTTCTGATCGGCTCCAGTGGAACGTCTGTGGACCTGGTTGTCATATTCCTTCCGGAGGTTCGACCCCGGCCTCGACTAGTCATGCCGCTTCTGAAACTCGTTGCACTACCCAATTTTCACTGGTCTTGCGACTCCGGTATCCGTGTCCTGATGTGTTCTGTTCCACCCTCTTTCTTCAGGTGATGACGAACCAGGCGGAGGACGTGAACAGCATCATCTCCTCCAAGGGCGGCCTCAAGTACACGGGCCCCGAGGTGGACGCGCTGAAAGCTGTCGCGACCGCGCACAGCAAGCGCTCCCTCGCAGACTTTGAGCGCGCGCTGCAGGACCATGGGGAGCAGCTCAAGGGTGACGCCATCATCGAGCACCACCTGGCGGCACTTTACGACACGCTGCTGCAGCAGAACTTGATCCGCATCATCGAGCCGTACTCGCGAGTCGAGCTCACGCACGTGGCGAAACTGATCAACTTGCCGCAGCCGAAAGTAGAAGCGAAGCTGTCGCAGATGATTCTCGACCACCGGTTCGCAGGCACGCTCGATCAGGGAGCGGGGGTGCTCATCATCTTCGATGACCTACCGCCAGATACGATTTACCCAACGGCACTAGAAACGATCGAGAATATGGGCAAGGTGGTAGATAGTCTATACAGAAAGTCTGCCAAGATTGCAGCATGAGACTCTGTCAGCAATCTGCATGGTCGAGGTTTGAGCTACTTTGAGCTTCAAAAAGGCATCTCAATTCGAATCGCCATGCAGGTGTCATCGTGCTCTATATGCAAACCATAACGTGACACACTGCTTTGCGCGCGAGTCTGGGGCCTGACCGGCAGCCGCGCCTGATTGTATTGTTTGTCGGACGGGGACGGTGCCTGCCAGTGCGAGTCGACCCGCGGTACCATACCATGATAATCGTACTAGGTATGGCGTGCCGTGGCGCCACGCTGGCATGCAAGCTCGGCCGGGCCGCCCACCTTTGTTGGCAGACGTCACTTATGTCCAGATGTGCGTTCGATTGTTGATGACTCAACGGACCAGCGCGATCGTGTCGTGATATGCAGCTATTGCATATAGTATTAATATAGGATCATGGGCGATATCGAAATCATGCATTGCAGGTATATATAGTGGCATTCATGAGCACTGAGCGTGTTAATGCGTAAATTCCGTCGCTACATGTATATGTCCGTCATAATTGATCCAATCGGAGTACCCAATCAAAATTAATCGTTGTTAGTTTTTTGTTAGCTGGATGTACCGACCTAAACTTGGCCGTCCGGCTAGCTCTGGTCGGATCACGAAGCGACAATGCATATGGCCGCCGGCCGCCGGCCGCCGCCGCCGCCGACTTGCATGTATTGGAGCCTGCTCATGCAGTGCCGCGCCCGCCGCCAATGCGGCCTTAGTTCAGGGACGTGAGTCAGGACTCAGGTACGTTTCAGTTTTTTGCTAGCACATGGGTCATGCACACATGCAAGCATGATGGCGGTCAGCGTCGTTAAGCAGGCGGACTGTTGTACATAAAACCTGATTCAAAACTTGACACAACACTTCGTGGTTATAAGGTTCACGACTAGTTTGGTAGCTATCTGCTACCAAATGACCCTCAAAGTGCAACTGGGTTGAAGCCTATGCCGTCCTTTCAAGGACATCAACGCCTTCAAGGCTTGATCTTGATCGTGAAAGAGCCTGCGACAGAAAACATCAGCTCTTAAGAGACTCCGAAACTGCCACCGTCAAAGATGCTTCAGCTCACCACATGCTTCTTCCCAAATAAAAAAACCGTGCCAGAGTCATATTCGAGGACAGTTTCGCAAGCAGAAAAATGGGAGTCTGTTGACCACTTGCAACCCTAGCAAACGACTCTTCTCGACCCATGACCATTTAGATCCGGGTCAGCCGCCGTTTCTAAAGAATGAAAGCGGCCTTCCACGATGACCCAACACAGAGCGAAGACATGCAACAACGGACAGGTCGGACGCATGTCGATGCCAATCTGCAGCTTGCACAAATCAACCACTCCACAATTGAAGCTGACAAAACTAAAGCATTCGGCCCTCACATGCCGGCAGCTGGTTCACTTCCGCGGAGACGGTGCATGGAATCCCCAGGTTCGTGAGTGCTCCCCGGATGAGGCCGCACGGGAAGTACAGGTACGCGCCTGCTTCGGCAGATGCGCGGGCGGCGGGGGTGTCGGACGGAGAAACGGGGGTCCCCGGGGGGGGTACGTCACTGGAGAGGCGAGTGAGCCATCGGAAGCGCGTGTCCTGGAGGACAAACGTGCCCTGCAGCGAGAGGAAGAACAAACTGAGTAAGCGGACTGTTGGGGCTTTCAGGAACGCAGGCATGTGCGGCCGGACGTGTGGTCACAGAGGAAGGAGCAAAGAAACAAAGATCCAGCTATTAAGGCTTGCATGTAACATGGACGGGGGAATAACCGGTCATAAGATACAATCGTCAATGGTTAGTACACGTTGAGCATAACATAGAAACCGATTTCATGCCATGTAGAGTGTTCGTGTGAGACGGGCGAGTCGACGAGTCAAAGCAGTCTTGGCAAAGACAGTGGAAAGAGGCTTGGGCATACTGAGGGCACAAACTGAAGACCCCTTTTGCAAAGACTGGTTTCAACAAGAACGGGCGGACATTGGAACCGTTGCTTCTGTGGTAAAAGTATCAGCAAAAGAATCGAAGCCCTTGCTTATCGAGTCACTTTAGTCTATTCTATTGTGCTCGACAGATCGCTCTGCACCGAAGATACCATGTGAAGCGCATGGAAGACCTCACTAAGAGAACGGATTCCAAGCTGGAGAACAAGGATATAATAGTCAAGTTTCCCACTTCCTTCTTCCCTTCTTCTCTGGAAAACCCGCAAACCGCGACCTCTTGTCTCTTGTACCACTTGGAAACAGTGCAAGTTGCCAGCACAGAAGCGATCCAACCGTAATTCAATATTGCCGAACAACGCCCTGCACTAGCAAGTGGCGGACCACCTCCCTTCCATCACAGTAGGCTCAAAAGGTGTGCGAGCAGCCTCCAGATCCGAGTTGTCATATCACGTCATCATGTGCTGAATTGATAGATCCAAGCTCTGTAGCTTTTTCGGAAGTACTTGGCTTGCGAGGGCAACACTCACTCTGTGGTTGGTCTTGAGGTTATCGACCTGTTTCTTGAACACGTCGCTCCACAGGTCCTTGCAGATGAACTTGATCACCTCCAGGTGGTCCGCAAAGCGCGGCCGCTCCTTGGTGGCCCTGCCAAGGCGCAACAAGGAAAGAGACTCTTCACACCAGCATCCAAGTCCAGGACAAACAAACCCAGAACACAAATTGAGAAGCTTCTTCCTCCGCTGGGGCAGAATAAGTGTAAATCGTAACAGCAAACCATTTCGCGCAAGCAGGGTCTGTTTTATCCCAAAATGCAGAACCCAGAACCCCAGAAGAGTGCGCTCATAGAGTGTCCCTATGCACTTGTTGCGGTGTCCTCTCTCCTGGGGACACAACGTGCTTACAAGCAGTTGGCTTAAGCTCGTCCCAAAAATCCTTGGATACTCAAAAGTGTCGTCGAAAGCCCCAATCAGTGTTTGTGATTAAAGCTTGACTCGCAGCAACAACATCTAGCACTAAGCCCAATGCCTTGTTTCTTGATCATTGGCCTCCTCTGGAAGCAACGTTTGTAAATTCAGTTCAATCAAGCAAAGCCTGCCAGGGAGGGAATCTTTAGTGAAAACTAAGAAGCGAGCGCCCTGGTTGCGAACAGTCTGCCCCAAGAACGCTGTCGCAATTAGCCAATACATCATCAGGGGCACTACGTTGTTCTCAGCAGTCTCTAGAGCACGTGCAAAGCCAGAAGCAAAGAATTTGTTTATTGCTCGGAAGCACAAAGTCTGAAGCAGCATCTTTGCAAATGTTATGGTGGTGCAGGGCCTTCTGGCCCCCAGGCCCACACGCCGTGGCAATTGCTATTAAAACCAGATACAAACTTTCATCGACAAGCTGATCAAATGTCAGTGCATCCTCTTGCCATCCCATGTAGCAGACGGCCTTCCAAAAGGGGCAGTCTACAATGCAACCTTAACCCAACTTTCTGCGCTATCACAAAACCCTAAGCAACTCAACCTCAGAAGCAATACTCGCCAGCGTCTCTTGACCGATAAGTTGGCATTGAAGGCAAAGCGGCAAACACTGCAAAAACTGAGGACTGTTTGATTGATAAAGGGTGCGTGCGCACACATGCAGTGTCCCCACCTCTCAACCAATTGCTGTCCTACTTGGAAGCCTATTGCCTCCACCCGCCGTCCTGCCAGCTCTGGCCGCCCTTTCAGCTGCTCCGAGTATGATCGCACGAGCTCGATGTTCAGCAGGTCCAGGCAGCTTTCTGCAATCTCCCGCGAACCAGGCGGCATGGCGCCAGCCTTGAGCTACATCATCTGAGTCGACCGCTGTCTGCAGCAATCACCACCTTTCCTGCAAGAGAGACTGCGCTACAGCGATCAGAAGGGCCTTGAAAAGGGCCAATATGTGTTTACAAGCGCCAATCAAACCGAGAGCCCTGCTCATATCATATGTACTAATGTAGTGCTTGCTAGTCCAGAATCAGTGCCAATTGAATCCAGCTCTAGCCATGTTGAGCTAGGCGCTTTCGATCAGTGGCAACCAATCAAGGTTACGCTGTTTTTTAGCTACTAACCCAACTCTTCAGAGCCGTCGAACAGAAGGCCCCTGACTCATCTCGACCGTTCCGTCGAGATCTGCGCGAGCAACACAAGCAGTGGGTCCGACGGCATAATATTACCGTATGTACAGTCTACACTAGAGCCTAGGTATGCGCATAAGACGATACACCGGCATGACGAATGCTTAGTAACTGTTGACATCATGTCAGAGTGCAGGACTACGTACTCCGTTTCTCAAGGCTCTTTCTCTGACTCTCTATTTTGGCGCCAAGGCATTAATATTGCCTGGTTTGCAAGGATTTCTCCTGAACTCGAAGAAGACTACATCCCTACTACATCGACTGTGAAGTGCAAAAGCCTTCTTGCCATCCGAGTCTTGCTTCACCAGTCGACAGCAGGTGCATAGAAATTTGACCATCCTGATCACCTGATCATCACTACGAATCATGCAGTCTAGAGGAATGGAGGTGCTTACTGTAGTACACGTGTATCTCTACTTTTGATTAGAGTACAATGCGGGATGGCTTGCATTGCATGAGACAACGTCCAATGTCAGAGCGCTCACTTGCGAATAAGGAAGGACCTGCATCCTTCCACCTCTGATAAGGGCTTTCTCATCAGCAACCTGCGACTCTGGAGTTTGGCGCCGTGCATGGCCGAGACTGAGGTGGCTTTTTAGATTTCTTACCCACTTTGACACAGATTACCAGATAAAGTCACTGCAATTTCATAACAACCACTAGACGAAGTCAGCACAGGCCCTGCTTGCATGGCTTCTGTGATGGTGTTGTAGCGTCGGGTTACCGCGTCTTTACCGCCCAAGGTGCCGGGTAATCTTGCACAGCATTGCTCTCAATGCTGTTTCCAGCACAGTTTCAGCTTAGGGCAGGGCTCGGCTAGACATGACGCGAGCAAAGGACGGCCCGAACCAGGGGACCATCTCGTGGCATTCTTCTCGGGCGGTCCTTGGGCTCAATTTTGACCCCGCTTCAGGGGGGCGACCCAACGGCACTGCTCACAAGGCGCCATGGTCGCCCCCCTGCACGGTCCGCGAGCGAGAAAAGCATGGCATGCACAAGAACAGTATGTATAATGGGGGAGGGAGTGGGGTAAGAGATGAGCTGGGGGTAAGAGTGGGAGCTGGGGGGGCGGTTACAAAAGAGGGCAAAGAGGGGGGGAAGCAGGAAATGCGGTTTACCAGGTTGGACCATCAAATTGGAAGGAAGATTGGGGGGAGGTTGTACTTGCGAGCATCTGACAGCTTGGTGGGTTCCCAAATTCAAGACTTTGACCGGACTTTATTGTTGTGGGGGTAAAAGCCTTGGTTGTAGCAATCATGCGTCAGAGGCCGACAATGCTGTCATATTCAAAGCTTCACTGAACTTTCAGTGCTGAAAACGGGGTCGATTGTAATGCTGTCGAATGCTAGTCCTGGTCCTCAACTCCTAGAACGCCTCATGCGTGCTCCTTTTCCAGCCAAACTGAAGGGGTGCAAATTAGGCAAGGAGCCTAGAGCAGCCTCCTCCAGTAACTGGAGCACGACTTTCCCCAAAACTCTGCAGCAACAAACGGTGAAGCTGGGGGTAGAATTTTCTTATACGATCCCCTAGGTCAGGCTAGTTAAGATGGAAGACCATTTTTGAGAGGCTCTTAACCCCGGAATGCAGAATCTGAGCGGGTAAAAGCTGCTTACCTTACACGAAGCAACCCCAAATATCCGCAAGCGACTCTTTCCCACACTTTACCCCTCAGCTATCAGACCTTCTATGGTTCCTTCAGGTGCACCTGCGGAACACATTTGGGAGCATGGACCCTGCCGGGGAGGGGCGCCTCGACTGGCAGAAGATTCAGGAGGGTCTGCGACAGTACCGGGTAGAGCTCACAGCAGAAGAGGGGCGGCGCGTGCTGGACAGACTGGATGCTGATGCTACGTAAGTGCACCTTTCTGTTGTTTGGGGGAATCGTGGAAGGTGTGTTACTGACTAAGCATGACCTTTGAAAAGCCCTCAGCAATTGGATGCGTGGGTAATTTCAAAGGTGTCCTTACGGTAGGCATAAAGGCGGGTCCTGAGGCTCGAAGTGTGCAAACCTGAAAAGACATTGCCATGTATGTAGAGCCTTTTTTTATGGACGCCCTTGGAGCAAACCAGGCTTTTAAAAGACGTTTGATAAGAAATCGTGGCAACTCTTTTCGGGTCAGACGTACTGCAAACTTCACCAGGATGGTTACGAACAGCTTCTTAGATTGTTTGAGCGTCCCGTGCAGCGGTCGGGTGGATTACAACCGGCTGCTGACGATCTTCGCGGAGGGCACGCCGGGCAGCCGCCCGCGCACGGCCAGCAACGTCATGCTGACGACAGCGCCGTGGGACCCGCTGCCCAGGAACGTCAAGGTGGGTGCGCCGATGCACTGGGGTGATCTTTTCAGAGCGTGAATGACGTAAGACTTCTGAGAGTTTCTGAGGCTTCTACGCGTGCTGTGAACAAGCCCAGAAGCAACGCCGTCCAAAGTCCTCCAAAGACAAAGATGCGGGCCTCTGCTGGCAATCGACGATAACAAAAAGACGTTGAGATCACGTGCTTGATTCGCCTCACATTGTTTCCGTCATTCACTTTGACTTATTCGCTTTTTTTGGTCTGCCTCATCAAGCCGGTTTGACATGCCCCGTCACTGTCGCAGGCTCTCAGCCTCTAAGTACTTGCATTTCTTTCTTCCCGTTTCGCAGCCCGCCACCCGGTCAGGCTACAATCTGCCGCTGCGAGACCGGCAATTGTACCATGTAAGTTTCCGGATATTCCAACCGCACAAAGATTGACCCGCAACTCACATAGAGGACCGATAATTCACTTCAACCGAAAGGTTCTAGTCCGTAGAATGGCAACGAACAGCTCAGGTCCTCTTAGATGATAGCTCCGCACAATTTGTAGTTCCGCACATATCATCTGCCATCAAGTCGCTCGTAGGCAAACCTAGGCCTTCTCGCCCCTTCGAGACTCCACTCCTTTTCGGTAACCCAAATCCACGCCCGTCGCCTTTTTTCAAGGGATTACCCGGTATCACGGGTTCTGGCGGGCAATTTGATGCAATTCGGCGCCTCAGGCTACAGCGGCGTTCTCTAAAGTCAGCGCCGCTGACGTTTACCTCGAAACTCCAAGAAGGGTGCCCACCCCGTAGTTTGAGAGCCGGCTTGACAACCCAAGACGAGGACATGTGGGGGCCGTAGGAGCGGTAGAAGCTTTATGATCCTTCATTCTTGTATACAGGCAACGGCGGCTGTGATTGAGCGCCGCGCAAACCGGTTACGTATCCTGCTGCGGCGGCACGACCCGGGGCGGACTGGGCGCGTCAGTGTGAATGGGCTCCAGCAGGGGCTGGCAGCGCTGCGGTACAAGCTTTCGGAAGAGCAGGTTCGGAGTTTTCTCACCATGGCCAAGCAGAGGGATCTCGAGCGCGGGATCGACTACGAGCGGGTGAGTGAGAATGCGCCTCTGGCTGCGCATTGCCGTTGCATGCGTGGTTGTTTCTACTCCGCAGAAAAGAGTCAAACCTCTTGAAGGACGTCCTTTTAGAACATCTTTTTCCTATTTGTTTGCGAGTCCATGATAATCAGCAATTGGAGCACTTGGAGTGCCGCCTACCCTTACTCTTTCTCTCAACGTTCACCAACAAAGACAACCTTAAAGGCGTCAAGTGCTTTGCGATCTTTGCTCCTGAAGGTGTGGTGCGTTCATTCGTTTAGCATATCATTGTCTGCAGCTGGTGAGCTTGTTTGACAACTTCGAGGCGGGCCCGTCTTCGAGCGCGACGGGCGCCGCGCCCACAGATCGTTCACCGGAAGAAAACGCGCGCGCTGAGAGCTCGCGAGCGCGCGCGCTCGCAGCGGACCTGGCCCAGGGGAAAGTCGGCCAGATACTGCGGGAGAAAGTGGCGGAGGGGAGGAAAGAGAAGATCATGCAGGTAAGCGGCAACGCTTTCTCCCAAATTGCGGGTTTGCTACACGAAGAGACTGAGGCCCGGAGAAGTCGGAGAGGTTCTCTAGCAGACGGAATGATATGTCGGCGTCTTTGCTCAGTAAATCGAACTCTCAATCTAAGCTGTTTGGAAAGAAACCTCCACGAGTCGACAATTGCTTCGGGAAGTTCTTGCTCTTGCTTCTCGAAGTTCAAGTTCCAAAATTAGACTCAATTACGCAGAAGGAATCAGGACCCGATCCGCGGTACCTGTATGCAGATCTTCCGCCGCCACGACATGGACGACGACGGCGCGTTATCGCTGCGCGAGCTGCGCCAGTCGATGGGGGCCCTGCTGCCGGAGGGGCAAGAACAAACAGCGCGAGATCTCGCCGGGAGCGAGGACGACCGCGTGGATTACAAGGCCCTGGTGGCTGTCGTCATTCGCGAGGAAGACGGGGGCGCGCGAACGGGGCGGCAAACGGGGATGGGTCAGGCGATGGGCTTGCAGGCACGTGGCACGAGAATCGACTTTCACACCCTAAATGTAACAGGCGTTTGAAAACCAGAACCGGCATATACAAGCCAGACTTTGATAAACGGTGGCTCATTTCGGGAGGCAACTGCAGCGCATACATCCTTGATTGCTTTGCCTGCGATTAGATCATGTATCTGCTACACGAGCCTCCAAAAAGCAAATCTGGTGTACCAGTTGTTCAATTTCTGCATTCTGACGGTTTCGAATCGTGGATGCAGAGCGCGCTTGTGGATCCGATTGAGACTTCGTGGACGCGGGCGGCGATGCGCGCGCGCACAACGGAACCAATGCAGAGACCGCGTGAGGGCGGCGGGTAAGACCGCGCACAGAAAGCGTCTGTTGTCATTGCGCGAAATGTTCGAGTCCGCTTCTCCGCGGAAACCAACTTTTTAGACATTTTGTGGTGACCTGCGAAAGCCGGCTCCTTTACATAAGCTAGCGAAGGAAAATAATAGGACAACTAAAATTCAACTCAAGCGACCCGATCCAGCTCATTGGAGCAGGCAGGAGGTCATCTTGGTCAGCTTACTTCATTCCTTTCCTGTCCAAAAGTCAAATTAAGCGAGTCGTTCCTTTCAATCGCTGCTGCCTTCATCGAAACCTTTGCTCGCTCGTGCTTCGCAGGCTCTTTTCCGGGGAAGCTCCGTCCAGTCCTACTGCATCAGTCCCTCAAACAAGCCGTCGTTCCGTCGGCGTCCGGCCGGCCACAGCGCTCTCGGCTTCTTCCGTCCGGCGTACGGATTCCGGTGCCTCGAACGCGAACGAAACGGAGAATGGCGCTCCTTCTCCCGGGAGCCTTCACCGGCCGTCGTCAGTGTCTGCGTTTGCCGCGCCGAGGAGTCGGTTTGCGTGGCATCCGCCCCCCCGAGACACGTCAGCAGTCATACGCCCGACGCCGGTAAGCGCCTGAACGCCGAGGAGGAGACACGTGGCACATCCAATTCGTTTGCACGCCGTCACGCCCACGTCATCCGATCGAACTAGACGGACGCGTTGGAGTTGTCCTCAGAATGTCAAATGGTTTTCGCTGCAAACAAGCTTCTATGATTAGTCTTTGCTCTGAAGTGGAGCGACATCAATCGCAGCAAGCCAGCATTTTCAAGACAGACTGGTACTGTTGCGAGTCATCAAAGAGGTGCAACAATCAGAACGTCCGTCACACGAAGCGTGCCGCTTCTGTGCACCTTGTTTCGCTTTTGACGAGGGGCTTTCAACTCTCCTTCTACAACGCGATTGCTCGAACAGGCCGTTTCTTTGATCAACCAGTTTCAAACCCTGAATTCTCACCGATCTTCTCGTCAGGGCTCCCCGGGGTACTGCTCCGACCTGGACCGCCTCCAAAGTGTAAATACGGTCCGGGCGCAGAGCGCCACGCCCGGCTCGCACTCCACCTTCTCTCAGGTAGGGCGGCCAGTCACACCACTTGATCCTGCAACAACGTGAACGGATGAAAGTCATACCTTGCGAAAATGAACCAATGAGACAAAGCGAGGACCGTACATCTATAATGATATGCCACAGTTTGATCCTATGCGATTGAAGATATATCGCATGAGGCATTTCTCAAGTCCTTCCCACCGCGCAGGCTTTGAGTGGCAGCGGGCGGTCGCCCTCCCGCAAGCGCGCCATCAGCGCGGGCGTGCTGCAGGAGCTGGCGACCACCAATGACACCATCGCAGCCGCCAAGCAGGCGGCGCGCATCACGCGGCTCACCGGCCAGAAGCAGAGGTGAGCCCCAGTATGACGTCACGTTTGCACGCCCGGGAGAACGTCACAGATGACGGATGCGGAAGTTTGTCGGTTGCCGTGCGTTTTGTTAGCAGTTCTTAGCAGTCGTGACGAAGAGGCGCATTCACCCGTACTCGTCGTTTGGATCAGGGGGTCGTGAATAGAAGTTGATGATCGACCTTAAACCTCGGCTGCGACAAAAAACTTGAAATTATGTCCGTTGCGCCGCTTTACCTCCGGTCTCAGCTCTTAACTTTTCGTCTACAACGAATGGTCTAAAATTTGAGACGGTATTTCACGTCGATCCCACAACGCCTGTGAGCCGGAGCTAAACCGGTGTGAAGAGCTATAAGCCCCTTCTCTACGTCGGCTCCCAAATTTCCTTTGGCTTCCGGAAAATGTAGTCCCGCAGCAACTGGTCAGGCTAGCCAATGTATCCGTGACACGTGGCGTTACTGTGGCAGGTACATGGAGATGAGTCGGGCGACCGAGAACGAGCGCGCGGCGGCGGCCACGACCGGTTCTCAGACGCTCTTTGGAGTCGACGGCGGGCCATCATACGTGGCCGCGTGAGGGCAGTTGGGACACAAACTGGCAGATACGAAGTCTCTTCGGTCGACCAATAACTGACGACCTCTTGACCAGCTGAGAATATAAGGCACTGGGATTGGATGGCGGTGGATGACAGTTCTCTTTGAGGAGTCTTGTTACAGCTGCGAAAGCCAGGTCTTCTGCCAATGGGCGAGATGTGGCCCGGCTCGGGTCCGGCAAGGCGATTGCAGCTCAAAGCCAAGAGTGCGCGCGCGCTCGCGCAAATGATGATGGCCGGTGTACGAGCTTGCACATCTGGTGGGCCCCACCCGGTGACCACCGCATGTCCTCCCTCCTTCGTGGTCCACTTTCTGCAGATGTTACTACGTACGGTCAACCGTACACATGAATTTTCCAACAAAAAGCTGTATACAGAGCCTGGTATGTACGAAGCTAGCGGCCCGCAAGCTAAGCGGCCGTGTGGTGATACGAGTCAGTTGTTGAATTGGCGGCACGAGCCACTGCTGCACTGCTGACCGTCAGTGCGAGGCTGTTCAAGTTGCCCGGCCACAGCTGCACGACTGCTAATGCAGAATCCAACAGAAACCAACATCAAGCCCAGCGGTGACAGCCCGCCATCGGCCGTCTCTCCTGCGGCATGCTTCAGTGGCCGCCACGCCCGGCAGTACGGCGCCACAGGCTTTCTGCTTTTATTTGACATCGATCAATACGTATCAGACGTGGATTGTTTGCCGCAAAGAGTTAGAGGTGCTACTAGTGATAAGCTTTTTCAATGATGCGCGCGCGGCGCGCTTGCTCAGACCGCTCAAGCAGCTTGACTCGATCAAGCATGGCTTTAAAATTTAGTATATAACGTGGGCAGACTCAGACGCGCAGCCATAAGTTTAGGCGACTAGAACCATACGCGAGCACTTCTTCAACTCATGCATGTATCTTAAGTACTCAGTACCACTTGCAAGCTCATTACTTGTGTTTCTTTCAGTCAATTCTACAAGAACAAATTGGGGCGGCGAGGTTGGCAGCTGGTTACAACTCCATCAATTGCGTCGCAGCAGAACCTGGCTACGTACACATGATGTCACTGGGCATTGGTTTGCAGTCAACAATCAAGTCGTATGCAACCAGATTCTCAACGGCGTTTGTCGTAAGAGCCGCAACACTTGACATTGAATAGTGATCATGACGGTCGGCGGATTTGGGATCGTGGAGTCTATCATCACTTTAGGCTCGATCCTGCAACATACAGACGATGCTCGAATACGAAGTCCGACGTGACTTTGATCGGACTGGCCGAAAGACTAAACCGTTCTTTGTCACCACACTGAAGACGCTGCTAGCTTCATTGGTTGTCAACTATTTGGCATGTCTAACCCACACCGATACCTCTTCACTTCGATGCACCTACCAAAGTTAACACTTTGTCCTGGTGCATGGCCTTCGAAAAATCGTCACGCCAAGCCCGTGAACCCTGGCCGCAATCCATACTCTTGTCGCACAAAACGCAGCGCCGTTCACTGGACGTACGGACCGGGCGTGTGCGCTTTGATTGCGGCAGCAATGGTGCCGTCCAGCCCATTCTTGTTGGCTTCGATGGTCTTGGCCTCAGCGGAGGCGATGTCCATCAGCGTGAATGCCAGCGAGTCAATGATCCCCTCATACGAGCGGAGCGCGACGGCGACGGGCTCAATGATGATGGAGGTAGTTGAGAAGAGGCCCGCCTTGCCGGTCAGGATGTTGAGCAGAATCTGGTGCATGCGCACCAGCTCGCGGAACGCGTCCGCGACGGGCTTTGCGTCGGAGTCCGAGAACGACTTGGTTCCTTGTGCCCCCTGCAATGGTGCGCCGACAATATCGGGCTTAGTAAACCCTGGTTAAGCGTGAATAAAGATCCGAGTGTCTAAACCCTAGAGCTGATCCGCACTTGACTTGACCGCATATTCATTCGGTTGCTATTGGTCTGAAAGTTGGAGAAGGTCGGACTTTGGGGTTTTCTACCAGGTTAGTAAATGACCGGATGGCTTTTCGAAGTGTTCGCATCAGCAGAATCTGTGTCCCTTCTGTGGCCTCCAGCCTCTGCCGAGCAATCATTGTCTCAACAGTCGCTTCAAAGAAAGCATGCCAGTCAAGCAGGGATAAGGAGTCTGGTAGTCTAAATGAAACGCAAGGACGGGGCAACTCAATCTGAATCAAACCAAAACTCAGATTGATCTGGCACGTTAGCAATGGACACTGTGGGGCAGTACTCACTATTGATGATTCTTTTGAAAAAGAATCAACAAGTTGTGCTTGAGATACTGTTTCCGTGTTCAAGTCGGTCACTTCTTTCCCTTTCCACATTCAAGCTTCTATCTGGAGTAATATTAATGACTGTCTAGGCTGAATCAAATGATGTCCACCAAGAGGTGAGTAATTTGGGTAGTGCTTGTGTGATTCACTCGACAAGCAAGGTAGAGAAGAACCTTCAAAAAAGACGTTCCCTTGAGAGCACAGAACTTCAAGAACGTAAGAGAACCTTCCAGCAAAGCCTCGAAGAAGAAAGCATCCGACTTGCAGGAAGCTGATGAGGTGATTTACACCCACGAGCGGACCTCCTGAGTTGACGATCTTTAGGCCACTGCACCAACTCATTCTCTGAACCCACCTTCAACATCCCATGACAAGAGGGGAAACATTGGAAGACGCTTTCAAACACCTGGCTGAACCCTTCTGGAAGCCCAGACGTCTAGACAGAGAAGCACATACCGCGAGGATATGGGTCAAGGTTGCAACAATATCGTTGAAGCCGTTGATGATGATGGGGTACGGGCCCAGGCCAACGACGATCAGCGGGCCGTTGATGAGGCTGATCGATTGAGCGGGGTTCTGTAGAGCTTGGCCCTTGACGGTGATTGATTGAATGTTAGCAACCAGCTGTTGGGGCGTCACGGAAGCAAATGTGGTAGGAGCGCACAGCAGGAGCAGTGCGGAGAGGGCCATCAGCCGGAGGGCAGCGGGGGAAGCCATTGCACCTGGGGGAAGGGAGGAAGGGATGCACTTGTTAAGGACAGGTTGTAAAAGACAAAGCATTTCTTGGAGAAAGGATAGGGAAACAGAGTGACTAAGAGCACATTGTTGAGAATCAAGCTCCTCAACGCTTTTGTGACCATAAGCCAAGGATTGTCAACAAGGAGACAAGAACAAGACTAATAGCTACACGCTTTTCGTGTTTCTTTTGACCAGGGTTGCTCTGAAAGCTGCCATGGAGACTTGTATAAAAAACAAGAGCACAGATAGTAAGCAAGAACAGGATTGGTAGAATCATCTATCAGCACAAGATTGTGAGGGGTTCTTGAGTTTTTGCAGGCCTAGCTTCATCTGACCCGCTCTCAGCATTCACTTAGAACCTTCTCTGTTCTAGGCTTGCTGCTCTGGACTAAGTGAACATGTCAACAGAGGTTATGCAAGTGACCTCACTAAGTGAACATGTCAACAGAGGTTATGCAAGTGACTTCAGCAAAGACTCAAAAGCCTATGGCAAGCATTCCATTGAGGCAAACACTCTCTCTCCTCAGATTGCCATTGTTCTATGTTTGGCATCCAAAGTCGAAATCAGATAATGTGGCATTGCTTGAGTACTGTGATTTCAACGCACTACGGCGATACTTTACATATGCTAGGTGGTCTTGGCTATCGTACTGCAGACCTGCTGCGCTTAGGCGAGTGGGATGTTCCATCGATGATTTTGGATCTGCAGAGACGTTATTTGACGGGCTCGCACAGATT